TATATATATATATATATAAAAAGAATATATTATAAAGTTCAATAGATGCCTATAAAAATATATTTCATTAATATTGAACGATCAAAATGTTATTCGACACGAGTCCTCGTAAAACGATATACATCATTGTAAATTGCACTCGATTTACTAGACTATTAGCAACTTCGTATGCCCGCGATGGGATAAGAAGGATGTGTGGAGAGGAAGAGAAAGAGAGAGAGAGAGAGAGAGAGCATCCGTAGTGAATTTTGATGCACCAATGTACAGAGCATATTCCTTACACCTGCCGGATACAGTACGTGCAACGTAGACAAGACTCGAGTGTGTAAGCTAGTGTGATCTATGCTTTAATACAGGTTGTCGCAAAAGCGATTTTAATATCATATGAAATAGTACGAATAATTGTAACAAAGTATCCCCTATCGTTCATTATTGTAAGATATGATTTTTGTGACAAAATAAAAAATTGCGCACACGTCGGATTCGAAATTCGAGAGAGAAAAATAATTAATAAAATAAAAGAAAGAAAACCGGTAATAAAAAACAAAATAAAAGAAGAAGCAGCTTTCCATTAGACTCATTTCTAATTCGAATAGAAACGAAACCGGTAGTGGAATGGACACGAATTTAAGTGCATTTGGTTCGCCAACTTTGTCCATCTATGATAACAGACGCTTTTAACGTTACAAACAAATACTTCCGTTATTTCAAAATACAATTGGATCGTCGAACTTGTTGTTCTTGTGACAACATTTTTCTACGCGAAGGTACATTGCCGCCTACCAGTTAAAAGTTAGAAGTCACTTGTCAATTATTGTCAAAAATCGATACATATTGAAACGATCAACAAAATGTTATTTTGCAATCGAATGTAAATATTAATTTGAAAGTTTAATAATCCGAAAATATGTTTCTCGGGTTAGGAAAATTTAGAAACTTTGTATTACAAACAAATATCAATTATTACCAATACTCCTATGATTTCATTCTATATATAAATGTATATGTTTGCGTGTATGTATGTGTATGCGAGTAGATGAGAATGCGTATTTACGTAGGAGAGGCCAGTTACCTCTCGTCCGCACTCGAATATGACGACACACAATATTCCTCGAGCTAGTGTATTTCGCACCAGGAAAACCGGAAAACAGTCACATTTGTCATTGTTGTAACGGACAAGGAATAGTGCATACCAGAAAATGGAGAAATGTTCGCATATATAGATATGTATATAAATATGTACAGGATATATAGTTATACCTATACGAAAAGAGAAATATTAGAAGAAAATAAATACGAACTTGAAAATAAAGATAAATTTAATGGATTAATCTATTATGATCGTACTAGCATAGTGAAATAGTTTAAAAGGGAAAGATTCTTTTATCAATGAAGAGACCGTTCTAAACAGTATCCAAATGTATTGCAATCTACAAATTACAGTAACTCAATTATATTATGTCCTATTTTGAGAGATATTCTCTTCTTCTATATATTATAATCACATATACATTTGTACGCGTATATGTGTATACATCGTTTTAAGTAATCTATCTACGTCATATAAACACAATACCAAAACAAAAGATCATTAGCCGGATACCGAGGATCTATTAGGATGATATGAATACTCTGTATTATCCTAGGACGATCCAACGAATCTATTTACGATACGGTTCCTTCCTAAATCCATGAGGACTTATGGCTAACGATGTCCTTTACGCTTACGTGATATCCTATACGCTCGAGGTATCACAAACCAAAGTTAAAAGCTAGCGCATTAAGAAGGTAATGCTTGGAATATTTGATGAAATACCCTAGACTCTTTTATACACTATTAAATCATGTAACATGACGCAAATAAGATCATTGTTTTCCATACCATATTACATTCCAAACAAAAATCTTTTTCTACTACGTCGTGTTGGAAATATACCGATTAATCGAAATGGTACTAACTAAAAGCGCATAGTACCCAATGTCAAGTATAAATCATAAACGATGAGAACGGGGTGAAAACGATGTTGTCGGAACGCTTTTACGCAGCTGTGCGAGCAAAAGAGGGCAGTTACCCTTGACGATGACACCCGAGAGTGGCTCGCTCGGCAGCTATCCTCGTAGTGCTTCACACGAGGAAACCCAGAAAATAATCGTGTTTATTAGAGAGAGTTGTATGTTAACGTCTATCTTTCTCTCATACCATACGTTAGGTTCAATCCTATCTTTATACTTTGTCATATATTCCTAACTGTTCGTTCATAACCGTGACAAAAGTGATCAGTTAACAAACGAATAAAGAACAGACCAAAAATAGAATAATAAATATTTCGTGGTATTTCGATTAAACGTGTGTGTGTGTGTGTATCAGTGTGATCCCCGAACACGTTCCCACCCCTCCAGAGATCATTTAAAAACAAAACAACAAAATATTGCTGAATAATAACGCAAAGAAGAAGGATACCTATATACGTTATGCCAAGAAAAAACTGGAGTTCGTTATGAAATATAGTCGAAAGAGATGAAATGCATAAGTTTAAGTTCTCTTCTTTCTTTTTTGCGGCTTTTCGTTTTATTTCCATTATTTTTGTTTTGTTTGGTTTTTTTTTTTCTTTCTTTTTTTGTTTTATTTGGTTCTATTCCATGCGGAACGTCGAGTAGTGCGCTGGAGTTTGCGCTGTTAAATTTCGTTCATATAGCGCAGGTACGGCCGAGCACGTCGGTGCATGCGCAATAGTGTATTGATCCTACGAATCTAAGATGCATGCACCATCATCCAGTGGTCCATTGGCTGTACACAATGCCATTACTGTTCTACGTTCTTCCACCGTTTCATTAAACGGTACGAACTTGTCGTGTGAGTAATGCGATACACGACAGATCCTTCTTGCAATTCTGATCGATAAAAAGCCACGAGACATCACTGAGGAAGATCGTAACAGTTTGGCTGTTTAGATTATGACATCTATCGAGAAATTCGAGATTTCGGCCTACAAATTAACACGCACCGCTAACACTTTTTGGAATCCTGTTTAACGAGTACGTACTAAAAAAATCACGCGTTTTATTATTATTATTATTATTATTACCATCGAAAATATTAACGTTCGCGCCAATGTTTAACGATCTTCTTGGTTTTTTCTTTCTTTCTTTCTTTTTTTTTTCCTATTTTCACAATATTTAAAAGAAACTCGACATTTTTATTGTATTCATTTCTTTAAAATACATCACATCGCATCACCGATCAATTTACTTTTGTCTACCGTAATGTCAAACTACGTGACCATAAATAATTATTCATTTTTAAATCGTTTTTATTTTATTTATTAAAAAGTTGAAATATTTATAGTCTAATATTTATATTCTTCTATTCTTTCAAAATGATTCTGATGTCAGGAGTGAATTTATAAATGATCGTTAGTAAATCGTATGAAATTTATCAAAAGAAAGTAACACGAACACGTTATACTAAATGATAACACAATACGTATGAACGACTCCAAGTTTAATTTCAACTCCTTCGGCATAAAGTCAATATAGATAGATGGTAGTTAACGCAACAGGTTCATAAATCCCTGACTGGCAATAGCATATAAAGCCTAGTTAAGCTAACGTTATAAAGGTAAAAGTGTCGATTGTATTAAACTGCAAGCTCGTTTCGACAATAATTTATTGATCGACCCCCACAGTCGTCGATACCGTTTACACTGAGTAGAGAAGAGAAATAATTTTTACTTTCTCATTTACGAAAAAAGAAAAAAAAGAAATAAATAAAGCAATAAAAACAAAAAGAGGAAAATTATTTAGGAGAACAATTTTGGAAACATCTTGTTTTAGTTTTCTTTTTTTTTTTTTTTCTAATTTTAGGAAATAACCGATCAAAGGTATACATAAAAAATCAATGTACGAGGAAGATAAAGTATAATGATAGCGAAATTAATAGTCGTAATCCTCGCCGCGAGGATTTGCCATGGGAATCCTGATGCCAAACGACTTTACGACGACCTGTTATCCAATTACAATCGTCTTATTCGACCCGTTTCAAACAACACAGATACGGTCGTTGTCAAGCTAGGTCTTCGTCTTTCTCAGCTCATCGACCTGGTAAGAAGCTAATTTTAAAATCGTTCCTTCTACCCGAGATAATTTTCTTAAATAAAATACTTGAAAATAAAAGATAACAATCCAATATTAAGAATTTGATTTAATTTGCAGAATTTAAAGGATCAAATCTTAACGACTAACGTTTGGCTCGAACACGTGAGTCCCTACAACAATCTGATAAATAATAACAAATAAGTCTGATATTGAAAAAAAAATAATAAAAAGAAAAACATAAAAGGAATAAAAATATTATCGTTTACTTTTAGGAATGGCAGGATCACAAATTTCAATGGGATCCAACGGAATACGGTGGTGTTACGGAACTCTATGTACCGAGCGAACACATATGGTTACCCGATATCGTACTTTACAACAAGTAAGCAATTTCATGGTAAAATATCTTCTCTATCTCTCTCCCGATACGATGATAGATAAAATAAACTTTAACATCGATTTTCAGCGCCGATGGAGAATACGGGGTAACGACCATGACAAAAGCTATTTTACACTACACGGGTAAAGTACTTTGGACACCTCCGGCTATTTTTAAATCATCCTGCGAAATCGATGTCAGATATTTCCCATTCGATCAGCAAACCTGTTTCATGAAGTTTGGTTCTTGGACGTACGATGGCTTCCAGGTTAGCAAACAAGCTAATTGATTAAAAGAAAATTTAAAACAAAAATATATATATATATATATTTATACATATTTACAGATTGATTTGAAACACATTAATCAAAATATGGGAGACAACAAAGTAGAAGTAGGTATCGATCTGCGTGAATATTACCCAAGCGTCGAATGGGATATTTTGGATGTACCAGCGGAACGTCACAAAAAATATTATCCCTGTTGCGAGGAACCTTATCCTGATATATTTTTCAATATCACGTTACGTCGTAAGACGTTGTTCTACACGGTTAACTTAATCGTACCGTGCGTTAGTATTTCATATCTTTCGGTATTGGCTTTCTATCTACCTGCCGATTCGGGAGAAAAAATAGCCCTCTGTATCAATATACTTCTATCTCAAACAATGTTTTTCTTACTAATATCAGAAATCATACCTTCGACTTCATTGGCGTTACCTTTGTTAGGCAAATACTTGCTATTCACTATGATACTAGTCGGTCTTTCCGTAGTCATTACGATAATAATATTAAACGTACATTATCGTAAACCAAGTACACACAAAATGGCACCTTGGGTAAGAAAAATCTTCATTAGAAGATTACCTAAATTATTGTTGATGAGAGTACCGGATGATCTTCTCAATGATCTTGCCGCTCACAAGTTACATGGGCGTGGAAAATCTGGGAAAAAGAGTAAATTCAATGCAGCCGTCGCGGCTGCAGTTCAAACTTCATCCATAGTTTCTTCCCCAGATTCTGCTCGTCATCAACATATTGGTGGTACTCTATTCTCATTTTATCAATTCTTTTCTATACAAGATTTAATAATAATTAGAATAATAATGATCGGTTTTTTTATCGTATTTTACAGGTTGCAACGGTTTACATACAACATCTGCACACAATAGATTTCTTGGAAGTTTTGGTGGCTACAACGGCCTGCCAACTGTCATGTCCGGATTAGATGAATCTCTGAGTGATGTAACGCCTAGAAAAAAGTATCCCTTCGAACTGGAAAAAGCTTTGCACAACGTCATGTTTATTCAACATCACATACAACGACAAGACGAGTTCAATGCCGTAAGTGTTAACGAATATAATTAATCAATTGTAAATGCTATTATTGGTATAAAAATTGAGTAAACAACAAATAATAATCAATAAGAGTATTTTGTTCCGGTTGTTAATTAATATCGCAATTTAATAAATTATATTTGTCCTATTAAAAGGAACAAAAAAAAAAAGAATCGTTTCTCAAATAAATTATTAATAATAATTTTTGTTTCTATTCTTCGTAGGAGGATCAAGATTGGGGTTTTGTCGCAATGGTTTTAGATCGACTTTTCCTTTGGATCTTCACAATAGCTTCCATAGGTGGAACATTTACTATACTTGCTGAAGCACCTGCACTATACGACGATACTAAACCTATCGATATGCAATATTCTTCCGTTGCTCAGCAACAATATCTACCGAGTTCAGAATTGTTTGATCCTGGTCCTTAAAAATGATAACTTCATTTATTCGTGTATTTGGAATACGATGTACAGTTCATACGAAAATCTTGTCTCATACAAATACGTTAAAAAAAAAAAAAAAAAAAAAAAAAAAATAATAAAAGATCTGCAAGACAAGAGTTACGACGTCGTCTTTCATCAAGAAAGACGCGTCTAAAATGATCGAATACGTTTTTCGCTAAAATATCTAATTGTAAACGTAATTGTTCGTATGTAATCCACAATTCCATTTCTTTTATCGAAAGGGGAAAAGAAACTTAAAAAAAAAAATAAAGTAGCGAGTGCTTCAAACTACAAAAAACAAAAAGGAATTTTTACAAAATGTTAGACATCTTCACGAGTAGTATCGGCACTCTTTTGAATCACGACAAATTTCGAGATAAACGTGGCCTAAAAAATCAAAAGATTCGTTAAAGCGTACGTATGTACAGGGTGGTGTGCGAACATCGTCGAAAATTTTCTAAAGTGTCTTAATGTAATTTAATGTGACGATAATCTTTTTTAACACTTTTTGTAAAATATTGTTTTCCATAAGTGTCTTTAAATAATAAAACAAAAATCACGTTAAAATTCCTTGATAATTCTTCATAAGGTAACAAACTCCGAAGTAATCGCCAATTTATTTGGACACCACCCTTATTGATACTCGACAAGGATTTTCGTCGTAAAGCTTTAACCACGTAACAATTTTAACGAAATCAAGAAATCAAGTGATATTTCGTTGTACGTTTATCTGATATATCTGATATATCACTTATATCTCCGTAAGAAATATAACAAAAATTTTCTAGTGTGCCAATCGTATGTAACACAGTTACGATAGCGATGTAAGATCTTTATTAACGATTCTAATTATTAGGGATTGCGGTACGATTGTAGAGAGAGAGAGAGAGAGAGAGAGGGGAGGAGATAGTGATAATTATTAATTCGTCAATCTTTACCTGTGAATACAGAAAAATGTTGATAATTAAATTAATCTTCCCGATAAGCAAATAAGTATATTAATACTAGTATATATATTATAAATGTATATGAATAGGTTTTCGATAAAAATGTAGGCAACATCTTTTTCATTACGACTGGCTAAAACATAATCAAATTTGTTCGATACACGCTGTACGCCAATGAGAATTAAAATAAATAATAATAACATTAATAAATCTGTTGTGAAAAAAATAAATTACATAATATTAATTTATAAACCATTTAGCTTAATTTAACTTTCATCTTTTCTCTTATTAATTAATTAATTTAATATTAATTTTTTTTTTTTGTTCTATATAGAAAGATTATGAAAAAAGCCTTTTAAATTGCAATTTAAATATCAAGATTTTGCTAATAATAGAAGACGCCCGTTTGCAGACCGCCGATGAAGCAGAGTTGTGTTTAATAGTAAACAAAGGTGAATTTCAGTTCCTAGCTATAATTGATAATAGTAGAGTATTGTTTTATTCACAACAGTTATCTGCATTTTTTAAATGACGATAAATATGATTTCTTCTTTTTCTCGCAGTTTGTTATAACGAGTTCTTGCTTATCCGAACGTCGGTAATAATTAATTTGAACCGCAAAGATACGACGAATGAATACAATTGCATTCAGATTTGCAGCCAAAATTCAGATAAATATAAATATGAAAAATGTAAGTCTGATAACTCATTAATTAGAACAGAATAACGAAATAATAAACAGAAATCTAGATAGACTCGTATAGGTCAGACAACTATAATTATTGGAAATAAATAGGACATGATTCGGATTATTATTGGATATTGGATATTATATAAATATTACATAAACGTATTCTAGTTAGAGCATGGATATAAAAATAGGTGTAGAATTCGTGTCAAGTGTACATCGGCCTTTCATCGTAAAACGAGCTTAGTATGCATTACGGCTAAAAATAATGACAAACTTTTGCCATATAGCAAAAGAACCTATGATAAAGTATTTGTTTTATTTTTTTTTGTAGTGGACATCCGCGTGTTTTTATTAACTTGATTTTTAGAAATTGAACAAATCATTACATATAACTTTTTGAGTTCCAAGCAGTCTACGGTTACGTCAACGTATGTGTTACGTTGTTCACATTTAAATTTAAAAAGGTCTGAAAATATTATCGTTTTACATTACGCAATAAACGTTGCGTGTACAAGGATTCTATCATGCATTAATAAAACAAGAATCATCGTCATATGTTACAAAAGCTACGCACAATTAAATATCAATGTTCTAACCATAGATTTCTATACTTCGACATAAATGGCCACTATAATAGTAATGATACTATCCGAATATTTGTTCTATGTAATAGATCAAATAACGTATTTAAATGTATCGTAATCTTATGCGATAAAGTAAATATTTTTATTTTTTATTTTTTATTTATTATTTTTCTCTCGCTTTAAAATGGAATGGCAAATCCTTCGCAATATGCTCACTATCTTTTGCAAGAAGACTTATTATATACAATACTAACATATGAGTGTGTATATTATATATAATATATCACGTATAATACAAATAAAACATTCTTTATAGTACTAGTATAAATGGACATACGTGGAATACTCTTAGAAATATATTCACATTATGGCGGTATTTTATCTTTTTCTTTCCTTCTTCTTCGAAAGCTTTCTCCTCTCTTTGTTCCAATATACCTTCATAAAAAGACAAAAGCATTGCCTTTAAAATTAATTTCATTCAGCTCGAATGGTATACAAAGCGTACATTTTGCGTATGCTGCATCGTGTTTATCGATAGAAAAGATTTAACATATTTATTATATGTATGTGCGCTACGTTTAATATCATATATTTTCCAAATGTAACTCGCTCATGTCTTAAATGGTACAAAAATAAAAATTCGCTTGAACACCGTCGTTACTACAACCGGAGGTATGACGATTTTCCTTGCGGATTCTTTTCCTCTAGAATAAAAAATATATGTATATATATACATATATATATCAAAAAAAAGTCTACTGTTATCAACACGATTTACTTAATTAATTATCGATCGATTTTACATACTAGGGAATTAACAAAAAAAAAGAATAAAAGAAAACAAAATAAAATACAATTAGACAAAATAATAAAAAGGAATATTTTTTAAATTCCAGTCTTACACACACGTACTATTATATATATATATATATATATATAAATCTATCGCTTACTCACGCAACATCATAAACGTCACAAGGAGACACGCGTCTTCTGATTTCTAAAAGGAATTCCTTTTGAAATTCTTTCTCCTTAACGGGAATAAGTTTCACTACACCGCGTGTGGAACGTAATAAATGCAAGCAAGATAACACTTTGACATGTCTTTATGCAACGATGATATATATATATATATATATATATTATATCGCATTCTCTTAGTTCAATTGGTTTCGTTCTCTCATATCTTATCAACTAATTCTAATCGAATAGAATTAAAAGTAGATGACTACCACTCATCATCTAGCTTACAATCGAATGTTTCATAACGAATAAGCGTAAAACTCGCATGTATATACGTATACATACATTCATCATACACACGCATCATACATACGTACTATTTGCAGCACAACCTGCTACAATATATATAGGTACCCTTATTAACCATTCTTCCGTTACTTTTTATGCACGACGATTATAGAGCATCGAATACATAGTAGTTTGTTTTTGTTTTCTTTTTCTTCCTTTTCTTCTATTACCTTTTTTGTATCTTATTTCATCAAATAACGCAATACCTAATTATTATTACTATTATTACATGGAAGGCTGAGAAAAAGTACGTCTTTTGTGCATCACGTAGAGAGAGACATTGCACATTTGTTTTTTTTTACAGTAGCAATCAACCTTTCCATGTACCAATATGACTTTTGCAATTGGGACATAAATGATGAACACTTATGAAGGTACTCATGCAGTACGGCAGACAAGAGCAGAGGCAACACCTAAAATAAAACATATTTTATTTAACGATCCTAATTTTTATTTAAAACAAAAATCCTTATCTTAAATGCATTGCACAAAAAGAAAAATATTATTTGTAGGGTTTAAAAAAAAAAAAATATTAATAAATTCAACATATTTACAACAACTATAATGATAATAATAATAATAATAATAATAATACATTTTTGTTAATTGATTTATAGGACAACAAACGTTTTATCTGCGTATATTAATACTAAATTACTTGCCCCAATAAACAGAGGATAATACAACAAATGTGAGCAGTCGGTTGGTGATCCGATATCGTAGTAGTTTTAATATCAGCATAGCATGACGGGCAGGTTATTTTGACCGCGTGCGGACCTAGGGCAAAGGTTACGTGTTGATGAATGATTCGTACTTCCGGCGGAGGTGCAAAGTTCTGATCCGTATTAAACGACTGTGATGCGTTGCGGTCAGCCGGCACGACATAATTCGAGGGCATTGGCATTGTAATTTGTTTCGGTGGTTGATTATCTGAAATGTTAAACAAATACGTTACAAATATACATGAATCTTATTTAGAATAAATATGAAAATATATAAAAAAAAAAATTTAATTATATCATGAATTACTTTCAAACAATTATAATAATATTGTATAACGTACAGGTAGGTGGTACTGGCATGGAGGGTACCCCAACAGGGTATGGTGGATTAGGTACACTACCATAAGCAATAGCTTCTTCATAAGTAGGTGGACCTATTGGTAATGAGGCTTCCACAGGTGCTGATGGTTCCATGTTGCTATTACTCGGTGCAATATTTTTCGCCATATCTTCTAAAATAAAAAGATCAAGAATAACTTATCACATAGAGAATGATTAAATGATTAGTTCGTATACACAATTACTAACATTTACATAGTATTTCTTATCATCATTTTTTATATAAAAATACATCACATAAACGCAACAATGATAAAGTAATCATTTGATAATACATTTAACATTTTTTGAAAGTCAGACAAATCAATTTAAATAATTTGCAATCAAAAAAATATAATTCTTACGGCACCGATCAAAATTATTTGACCGTCTTACAAAATGATAGAAAATTAGCTTAAATTTTAAATCAACTTTCAAATTAAAGCAAACTATTAAGTAAATCCAATTTGCCGTGGTATTTATATAAGTAATCAATCGTTTGATCCAAAAAATTAATAATTACATTCAATCTGAATACGTTATTTACCAAAAAGAAAATATTGTCTTCATGCAAAACGTATTTTAAATAAATTAATTAAATATTTTTATTGATCACGTCTATAATTGGATTGGTTGAAAACTTTTGAGCCTAACATAGAAAAAATCTTTTTTTCGATTAAGTTTATTTTTATTTTATTTTTGTCTTTGATTTTTTATTAAGGTTCAAAACTTTGCAATTTACTCTTGTATACCCATAAGGTATAAACACACATCTAAAACACAAATACATTTATCTATTTAAATACTTGATGTATAGATAAACTCTGTAACTTGGAGAATAGAAAGTTGAATGTTAAGTAACGGAATTACCGTATGACGACACAACACAATTAAATTTGAAAGTATTTGTATGTGTATGTTTGTATATATATATATATATGTATATACAGGATGTTCTAAAATTTTTCCACGTATATATAATGTCACAAAATTTTATTAATAAGAATAAGAAAATTATTTAATCTAACTATTCTAAATATCTTAAAAAATTGTTTGATTAAAAAGTTATATAAGACGAATAACAAACTTACCATACCAAAATATACACTATGATATACCATACCAAATATCACGCTAATGTATTTTTAATTAAAAAAAAAAAGACAATTATTTATTAGATTAAGAACAAATATGCTTGAAAAATAAGTGCTTAGAATTTTTATTACCGTTAATTAAATGAAAATAGATTCAGAATATAATTTATTGCATTTTTTCTATTTTTACAACATACATTTTTCTTTAGAAAACTTTGAAAAAAAAAAAACTAACATGGAAACAATGTTTTTTTTGTTAACCCAACCTAATATATTCAGTGCATAGACAAAAATTGGTGGTGAATACACCCTGTATTTTTATTTTTTAAAAGATTAATTACTTGTTTAATTTTGTTCTATTTTTTGAATCACATACAAATTTATCTAAAGATTAGGGAATATTGTCTGATGTAAGATAGTGACAATTATTTACATAATTGACATAGATTCTTGTATAGAATATTTTTCGCTCGCACTCTCTTTCTTTCTTTCATTACTTAACGATAAAAGTGAAAAGAACAAAGATCTGGGATTACCGGGAAAGAACCCATAACGTAGAAGCGTCGACCGGTTAGTTGACACAATGACGTAGATAATTCGTCTCTTTGAATTCTGGACATATCTTTATATATGTATATATATATAAATATATATATGTACTACACTAATGGTAAGTATATAACATCACATAACGCATTTCGACCCTTCGTTCTACGCGTCCTTTCCTAATTTTTCTTTCCAACTTTTAAACATTTTCTCTCTATTACCAATTAAACAAAAAAAAAATTAAACCAAAGTAAACAACAAGAAAATAAAAATAACATACATAATTAATAATAATTAAATAAGACTTACATGTTAATGTGTAGAAGAGAAAGAAGAAGTTTACAATTCTAAGAGCGTACCAGGATGACAGTGAGGTTATCTTCAAAATCCAATGTCCAAATAACTTTGCAAAATATCACAATTTTCCATATAAACACCTTTTATCACGAATTGTTTTTTTAATTCTGCAAAAATGTATTTACGTCCTTTATATCCCGTTAATATTCCACGCGTTATACGTAAGACAGCAAAAACCAAGCAACACGACACGGATGCGACCAACAACTGAATTTAAAGAAGCACATTGATTCGTCATACGATTCACGAAATATTGTATCGATAATCGAACGCTACCAACCTATCGATAGGATGGTACTATTATTTTATATAAGATGGCGGTGCGTATTGTAGTTGCGCGCGCATCGATTTCTTAAGTTGCTTGTAATTATTTTATTTGTATTATATTTTCTTTATTATATTATTATTAAATATAGAAATAAGAGAGGGAGGATGTAATTTATCAAGTATAATACTTGTATTTTTTGTTTCTTTTTTTTTGTTTTCTTTCCTTTTTTCTTTTTTAAAGCAGGAAAAGGAAAGAAAAGAACAGTGCGTTTTCTTAGCACTGCTCCACTAGACGTTTTATAGTTTACGCGGGAGTTTCGATTTATAATCACTTTCTTGTCCTAAGATTCCCTATTTTATCGACCCTGGTTGTGGATGTCGCTCAAATAATAAAAGAGCAGAATGAATGATAACACTTTCTGAAATATATACAATTAAATTAACAAACTATATCGTTATTTATAATACGATATAATTTATAATATGTGTAAGTTATCATACATATATTTTCTTTTTTATTCTGAATTCTTCTTTTTCAATTAATATGAACTTAATAATCTGCCAATCACGAATGGATATTTAGACTTATTCCCAGGACTGTATCAATAAAAGACGAGTCTGTTCCATTTTTTTGTTCTTGAATAAAAAATTTCATTGTCAGAATAAAATAAATTGAAATAAATTTCAAAATAAATAAAATTGTTAATTTTTGTTTAATGTATAACGTAAATTTCTTTTCTGCAAAAGAAAATAATTACCGCAATTTTGATTAAGGAAAATTCGATTTTTTGAACGTAAGAGAATCTAAGTCACGAGACAGTTTGATTCTAACGCCTAGTAACTTCCGTTCTTGCTTGTCAGCTGATCAATCTTATTCCTGTTTGACCGTACTCGAAAATATGTCTGGAAAAGATAAACTTCCAATTTTCCCCTCTCGGGGGTAAGTATTTATTTAAAAGAATGTTATTGTTAATATGAGAAAGAAACCTTTCATTGAAATTAACTTTTTGTTGGTGAAACTCGTTAGAATTTTCTTCTTAAATGACACTTATTCCTAGCACTTATAAAAATGGGTGTAACCCTATTTCAAAATATTCTACGCTTTAAAATGATTATAAATAAATTCTAAACTTAAACAATCTTCCATTTTGTTATCATCATTGAGATCGGCTTTTCTTTGCAAGTAATTTTACAAGAATGTCAATTTTTCATATGTATTATGTTACAATTGACAGTCGCTAGAAAAACATTTGTTTAAATTAAAATATCTTGTTATAGATTTTAACAAAAGAATAATAACAATGTTATTTAATGTATACATTATTGCTAATATTTTAGTGCACAGATGTTGATGAAATCACGTCTGCAAGGTGCACAAAAGGGACATGGATTACTCAAAAAGAAAGCTGACGCTTTGCAAATGCGTTTCAGAATGATTCTAGGCAAAATTATAGAGGTAAAGTGAAATAATAAATATACAATTATCTATTTCACATTATAGTATGTATTCTACAATGTAAGATATTCTATTACTTTTATTTTTCTATTTTGTTTCTCTAGACAAAAACTCTTATGGGAGAAGTAATGAAAGAAGCAGCATTTTCTTTAGCAGAAGCAAAATTTGCCACAGGTGACTTTAATCAAGTCGTCTTACAAAATGTCACCAAAGCACAAATTAAGATACGTTCTAAGAAGGACAATGTCGCTGGTGTTAATCTTCCAGTATTTGAATCGTACCAAGATGGTAGCGACACTTATGAGTTAGCTGGGTTGGCTAGAGGTGGACAGCAATTAGCAAAATTGAAGAAGAATTATCAGAAGGCAGTTAAATTATTAGTAGAATTGGCCTCTCTACAAACAAGTTTTGTAACATTGGATGAAGTTATTAAAATAACTAATCGTCGTGTAAATGCTATTGAGCATGTTATCATTCCAAGAATTGAAAGAACTCTTGCATATATTATATCCGAATTAGATGAACTGGAAAGAGAAGAGTTCTATCGTTTAAAGAAAATCCAGGATAAGAAGAAAATAGCTAAAAAGAAGGTATACAAATTTTCAAATGAAATATTAAATAATCATTAGAAATAAAATATAATCTTTTATACGACGTTTGTAATGAAATTTTGTTTTAGACTGATGAGGCTAGAGCGCTAATGATCATCACTGGTAAAGAAACAGAAGCAGCAAATATGCTGGATGAAGGTGACGAAGATTTGCTATTTTAAACAATGTATATAGTACTATCGTACGTATTTAATTACTAAGAATAAGCCACGAAAATAAGTAGAAATTTCTGGTTGAAGTAAATCTTTAAAATGTCACGAAGTGCGATTTCATAGTTCGTTCATGGTAAATACGTTTCTCAATAATTTGAGAAAAGAAATAAATTAAGATCAATTTATTTATTGAATGAAATCTTTAAAAGAAAGATCAATAACATCGTCATTACCTTGTTAATAGACCTGTGCTAATATTTAAACAAAACTGTATTATACAGTAAACCTGTATTTATGATCGATATGAATGTTATTAATATTTTTTTGATCATACTATTAAAAAATAACTTGTACAGAATCAATTATTATTATTATTATTATTATTATTATATATATAATTTGAAAATTTTAGCAAAATCTAATATTGTTATATGTATCTACGCTACGTCAGTGTATTTTTTTAAAATATTCCAACTACTGTTAATTGTTAATAAAATTAATAAGGTATATATAAAAACAAAAAATTAACTGAATGTAACTGTCCAAACAATTCTAAGGCGAAAAGAACGTCTTATTTGATTATATTCTCATCGAAAAGAGAGAGAGAAAGAGAGAGAGTAGGCAATATTTTATCATTAAATAAACAAAAATATATATATATATGTGTATATATACGTCTATACTATTTAGCGGCGCTCTAACGTTTATTACGTTACAATCTCTTGTAATTGACTATCTTTTAAATTTCATTAATTACAATGAGTAACAAATACAATTTGGTATTCTTATTACCCATTAATTTATTAGTCATCAAGACAAAAATACAACATAGAAATGAATTTACTAAAATAAATCGTTAAACGCAAAGCATGCGCGTAGGAAATGATTTTCGATAGGTATGAATTAATATCCTTTGAACTATATAGAAAAAGACAGAAAATAGATAAATGAAATACAAAGGAAAAATGAAATATTATCAATTATTCCTTCTGGTACCAATAATGTGACCTTTTGATAATATAATCTTTATTGATCGACTCTATTGTTTAAAATAATCGTAGGGAAGTGAACTTCTTTGAAGTGGGTCAATCAATATATGAACCTACTCTATCTCTCTCTCCTCATACGATAGAACTCTCTTTTAGCAAAGGGAGATGCGCGCGTGAAAATTCATTTCAGTGCGCGTTAAATTTGTCCTCCGCCAAGTCCAAAGATGTCCGATAATTTAACAATCGTACAAATTCCTGAGGATCGTTACGCCGATGCTATCGATCATTTGAAATGGAACTTCTTCGCGGATGAACCATTGAATCAGGCTGTTGGATTATGCGAAAAGGGTAAATCTCATTTCGAACTTGAAAGACATTGTCTGTTGACTTTAAATCAGGGATACTCAAGGATGCTAGTGACAGAAACTGGAACTGTAAGTTTGTTCTCTATGACTGACTACATTCGAAGCTAATCTTTCTATTTCGTTACAACTGTTCGAATCTGGACGACTCTATTTTCCGCGGTTTTTTTAAATTAACATTTATCCAATTATACATTAAATTTTTCTTCAATTAATTACGTAAGAAATTATTGAGATTAACTATCTCAAAATCATAAAAAAAAACTTTTCTTTCACATTAGATAGCAGGTATGACTCTAAATGGTGTTTTAAATGAAAAGGAAAGAGACGAAGCTAGTCGACGACTTGAGGAAATAAACGACAAACAATTTAAAACAATTTTCGGTCAACTGTACAAAGTCAACAAAAAGGTTGATCTATTTAAGAAATACAATGTCCAGGAATTATTCGAATGTCGTATTTTAAGCGTAGATGAGAATTTTCGCGGGAAAGGCTTAGCAAATATTTTAATGTCAGATAGTCTTGAAGTAGCAAAGAAAGCTGGTTTCAAGGTAACGATAGCAATATCACGGAAATGTTTTAAAAAAATATAAAAAACATTAATTAATTAATGTCGAGTGTGCTCGATTTTTAAATGTATTGTATTTGTGTGTGTATGTGTAAATGCATGTACTCGCGAATGACTTGATGTCGCGTTAAATGTTTATCCGTATATTAAAGTTATTATTATTAATATAATTTTAAATTATATATTTATGTAAATAAACAAGAAAATATCGTTCATTTATACATATGTATATGTGTATGTAAGTACATGTGCATTGTCAATACGATATCTTTGATCATAAGTATACATTATCTTTTTGTTTCAGCATGTACTTCACTTAATAATATGCATGGGATGATTTTCATTTACAATGGTGTCAATTACAAAATGCACTCATTCTTGTATTTTTCTAAAAGGTATTCTTGTATATGGTTGCGTGTATAATTTCATTCGGGGAATTAAAATTTCTTACCAAACAAGTTATTCCTATTCGCGTTTGCAGGTGTTCAAAGCTGATGCTACTGGTATGTATTCTCAAAAAGTTTGTTTAAAGCACGGCTTTCAAGTCGAAGCAGAGATTCCTTACACAGATCTTCCAGAAAACATAAGACCTGCACCACCTCATCAAGCTGTTAAACTTATGGTAAAACTGTTGCATTAGAAAGGTATATATAAATATAAATAATCCTATGTGATATAATTAAACGATTCAATACATTGACGAAGTTATACAGCATAAAAAGTAGATAAAAAAGAAAGTATATGTATCGTTGTGACAATAACAGCTCTATAATATATTTGTTGGTGATATTAAAAGATGCGTTAATGTCTATACAATAATAATGATTAGGTGTCGAAAAATTGGACCACATATTTGCTTAGAACGTATAAATCAATAATCCGAGTTGTTCGGCTACTGCCCCTGGTTTATGTGTTCCAAGCAAAGTTATTCAAATTTATGAACTCAACGATAACAACCATTGACGAGCATTTTTACATTCCGTTGATTCAGAAACAACGTTAAAACAAATTATTCATTCTAATTCTGCTTTACAAAGGGGTGCATATAAAATGTCTATTTAGATAAATATACCTATATATAAATCTGTTAAATATTATGAGATTATATAATAACGATGATCATTGATGTATGCATCAGAAAAGACAATAGTCTAATAGAAAGTCATAATATATATAAGCATGTATTAAGAAATTATTTATTATTTTCTGATTACAATATACGAAAATGAAAGAGACAATGTAAGACGTTTAACGCGTATCGATAAAGAAACTTCCTTTTTTGTTGCAATCATTGACGAAGCACGAGACACAGAACTTTTACATGATCTATACATTTATCTTTCGGACAAGACAAAGAATTTAATATACAGCGAGGTATATAAATAAGAATATGAATTACAAGATGACGGGTCCATTTGCAAATAATTATACAAATTATGAGAAATAGTATTTTTGTCAGTGTCACGTGTGTTATAAGAAATATATACGTTATTTTGTAAGAATGTCCGCCAAATAAAGTTTATAATAATTTATATCGCATGACGTATCTTTGAAGTAAACTTTCCATCATTTTGTTCAACTATGGATTGTTTTAAGCGAAAGAATACTAATAATAGTATTTACTTTAATTTAAGTAATAATTATAATTTTACAAAAGATATTGATAAAGCATATAGCTATATATATATATTTAATAGTAAATATTTCATTTACATAGTCATACATCACATTATTGATTAATTTTATTTGAAAATTGTAAGTTGCATTTAATAATTAACTTGCTGTCTAAAATGCTGTTGTAACTTATTAGCTTTCAAATTTAATTTTAAATTGTATTTAGCTTGTATTCTTTGCATAAATTTAATGTCTCTAGCTTTCTTAACAGCTATTTCTTTCTTTGTATCAGTCCATCCCAAAGCTCTATATTGCGATATTATATTACGTAATTTATTATTCTTGGATATGGCATTTGATCTATTAGGATTTAAACTTTGTTTGTAATATCTCATTAAAGATCGATGACCGATAATATTACCAGATGGTAAAACTAGTTGATAGTCGCTATCATCTAATTCAGGTATTTCAACCTCTGCGTCTGGATCTGCTGTCTCTACATCAGGATAACTCGAAGAATAATCGTAAAATTGGGCATATTCTACAAGCGCATCACCTTCATGCAACATTTTACAATGACCTTTATCGATCATATGTGCCTGAGCTGATTCGACGGTTTGAAATGCTCTCCCTGTGTTTATAAAAACAATATTTATTTTATTATTTATAATCGAATAAAATAGTTTTAATAATTATCAGGAAAAATAGACAAACTTACCAGAGTCATTACACCAAATGCACATATAGTTAGCGCATATTTTTTCTCCTAAATATATAAGCAAACCTTTGATATCTATACAATAATCTGTATCAGGTATAAAAAAGGAATGTGCCACCGTCATATGTTTCAAATTGTTAACTAAAGATCGACTGTGATTCTTACAAAACAAACAATTGTTATTTATGATAGGATTTTCAGTATCTTCAATCCATTCATCAGAATCAACAGATTCAACATCTGAATCAGCATCCATGTCGTCTATAGTTCTTTCACCATTACTTTCGGTATCAGTTGTTTTCACAATTGTAGAATGTGAAAGAGTAGATGTTACAGAAGCTGACAAAGCTGAATCGTCAATTGTACTCTCATCTTCCGAAGCAGAGTCAATCATATCTAATTTTATTAAGTTCTCTCTATGTTTTTTAGATGACATATGATTAGTGTATTGATTTTTAGTGTTAAATGTTTTACCGCACACATTGCAATACATATATTCATTTAATGACTTATTATTTTGATTAAGTTGAGCAATAACTCTTTTCTGAAAATCTTCAACTGGAACTGGAGGTAATTCAGCTACTTTTCTTTTTAAATTGTATCGATGCCAGTCCGATTTATAATGTTGCCTTTGGATCTCCAGATCTCTAAATGCCACACGGCAAGTTATACATGTGAATGACGTATTCATCGTTTTCAATTGTCTATATTCACAAAACATACAAAATACAATGTAAAAAAAAAAAAAAACTCGTTTCTATGAAATTATAATTTAATATTTAAATTCAAAATATAAGATGTAAACTTGAATTATATAGAACTTTGGCAAAATTTTTCTAATAACAAGTTATACTAATAAACAAACAAGCGTTAAATAAACTAAATTCTGAATACCACTGCATGCTATGAATGTGTAATATTTTAAGATAAGATACGATATTTCGCAATTATACGAAAATGTGCAATGCAATTATCATCACATGCATAGTAATCGCCTATCAATTAGCATTGAACTTAGATAAAATAAAATGCAAATCTCTTTTTCATTTGTTAACCTTATTTATATATTTATGATTTACTTATTAATAATATTAAAAAAGAAATTACTTACAATTTCAACTCTGCTATAAGTTTAACCTTACTTTGATAAACGTCGATTAAAAAATACACTAAACACCACCAACGAAGAAACACGCAGTACCCGTACAAATTATAAGTATAGTACAAGCTCTATGAGTATGGTTATATACTAGTTATTTCTATAATGATAATCATGGTTGCAACAAATTAAGTTTAAAAAGCACTTCGTATTTAATGAACATTTAAAGAATTCTACGAGGGTCGTGCATATTTTTATATTTAAATATCAATTCTATCAAACGTAGTATAATATTTATTTTTGCTGCTATTTTGAAAAAAATATCACGAAAATAACGATCAATTGAATAATCATGTGATATTACGGAAGAAATCAAAATAGAAATAATAATTAAAAAAAAGATATACCATTAAGAATAGATCGTTATTTCAGTAGTTTTTTTTAAATCCTATTGTATACAAAAAATAGAGAGAGAGAGAGAGGGGGAGAAATAAGAAAAAAATAATAATAATGAAAAATTGGAACAATAAGAAAAACCAATAGGAAAATAGAACTAGAATAATTTGGAAGAAACTAAAGTTCGGACCAATGGCGTGACAGCGTGAGGAAGCGAGGCAGGAAGGTAAGGGATGTGAAGAATTGTGCGACGGTCCTGACATTGCACCAAGCTCGCAGTGGTATTCAGGCAGTAGCCGTCTTTTAAGTCAGAGCATTTTTTTCACCAATAGAACACGTTGCAAAGGCAAGACAGAAAAAGGAACGATATTATACGCTAGATAAAGAAAGGAAGATAGCGAATCCTATCTTGACGTTTTTTAAACGTTGAGTATTGCGAAGAGGTTTTATCCTCTAAAGGAAAATACGAAATAAAGACAGAGAAGAAAAGAAAAAGAAAATTTCATCCGATCTGGAACGAAGACATTTCTTTGACTCGTGGCGAATCCAAATCCCTTGAGTTTTATCAAGAAAAGAGTTATCTGGAAGAAGAAGAAAAAAAGAGAACAGGAATCACGGTGCGTTAAGTGCCAACTACAACGCCCTGATCGGATACGAGCTAGGAGTGCTCGTTCATAGTAAGAAATAAGGAGTTGAGAAAGCGGAGAACGACAATATTCCTTACGCGGTAGTCAAGGAAGAAGGAAGGAATTTAAGCTTCGTAGGAGACATTACGACGAAACTGGTGTCCCCTTCGTTAGGGCAATCCATCTGTCTCGACGCTCAACGTCGTTACCACTCATATTTTCACGCTAGAAAGCGGCCGTCCAGCAGGGCGATACCATTTTATATGACTTTTCTTCGACGACAAGGTAAGAAAATTATTTTATTTTATTATTTAGTTCTTTATTTATTAGTATTTTATTCATCACGAGCCATACGGGAAAGGCACGCATACAAATATACACATAATATATATATATATATATATATATGTACGTATATATACTCAGCACGTCTCCTTATCGAGTCTTCTCTTCCCTTTATCCCCCCACTGCCCACCTACTCTTTCTCCTCCTGCTACTCTCTAACCTCCTCGCCTATCTCTTTTTCTTTTTTTGTCTGTCGTCTCTCTCTCTCTCTCTCTTTCCATCCTCGTCGAATGCTAATTTTAGCGATCAGCCATTTTGAAGACGAGAACGTGCACCGATTCGCGAGGCTCTTGCCTTTACGCGGAAATCGATGTCGCTTTTCTAGCTCTTTAAAAGTACTCTTCTCTCCCTCTCTCTTTCTCTATTTCCTTTACTATTTCATCATCATTCATTCTCGTGCTCTATTTCCTTCTATCTCTCTTTCTAACACGCGCTAGTTAATTGCTTCCTTCTTCTGTCGGTCTTCCTTCTCCACCTTTTCTTCTTACATTACCAATTTCTTCTCCTTCTCTTTAATTTTTTCTTCTTCTTCTTCTGCGACTTCTTCGTACGTAATTGTTAAAAGTAAATGTTTACGTAGAGCAGCAAAAAATTATCATTAATATGACATGTTTGACTTCGATGTTCTTTTTAATATTTAAAAAATTGTTTTCATTTCATGAAATATGTATAAATACGTATTTCCGGTAGTAAAAAATCCTATCTCTTCGTAATTTCATATTCACCCACGTATATCATTTGATTCGTTAAAAGAAATTTGTAAATATCGATCGTAAATATTGGTTGTTTATAATCGAGAATCTACAGGACAATTATTATCGAACGTGATATGATTTAACAACCAGAGGAAGATGTTGAATCACGAACACAGCCATCACAGTTAGTCAGTTTGTGTTATGTGATAGGAGGAATTGCTTCGTCACTCTAACATTAGTCGGGTAAATAATGAAAATAAAATGCATTATGTGAACGATGATCATCATTACTAAGGAGAGGTGGAAATATTAAAAATGCAACTCTATTAAAATTCTTCGAAAGGTTTAGAAAGCATGATATTAAATTTTCACTATTTCCATCGATGCATAATTTATTTGATATATTTACTCATTTGAATTTTTCGTTAGTTTATTATTTTAAGAAAAAAAAATGTTTATTTATAGCTGTTAATAAATTCTCGAATTTTATGTGGGTTATTATTGATGCTAAACTATTGAAAAATAAGTTAGGTGTCTTTTAAATGTAATTTCGATTAAAATTCGTAAATAAAAGGAACGTTGTAGAGAATTATTGTACAAATATTTATAATACGTTTATTATCGTTGATTCGAGGTCTCGGGTAAGGGTTGACTTTTAAATAATTCTTCATTGAAATACGAAAAGACATTATACGTATTAGAAATATTCAGTTCATTCCTGTCTCCTCTAACACTTGTTTTATAATCTTTCTTATTAAAATAATCCGGATTTAATGTAATATCTTTCCTAACTTATTTTGACACAACGTTCCAGCTAAATTAGGATCTTCGAATACGGTGGAATTTGATATCTTGTATGTTCGTTTACTATTTAAATACTGTTTCTCTTTATCGTACTATTCTAATAAAAATAAAGAACAATAAGTAATTTAAACATTTCCAAATACGTTGCATATCTTATCTAATCTTATTGTCCGCGTAATTGTACGCAATTTACATTTTTTTCTTTTTTTTTTTTTTATAAGTTTAGAATTTTATCAACCTTAAGTTTAAAGATTATCATAGATCAACATTTCCTTAATACATATTTTTTTATAGATCTGTAAACATATTTTTATTCATATTTTGTTCAAAAAAATATATTTTTAAAGTCTAAAGAGCTATTTAAAGTGCATTATGAATCAGAAAGATAATATTGCTGTACAATACTAAAAATAATAATCAACAGCATACACATATACACAGACTCGATTTTAGTTAAAAAAATATTTTTAACTATTAGTTCTTTTTCTTTCTATGCTAATATTTTTGTTCAATACCGTACCAAGAATACGCGTATGTATTTAAAGAAGTGTGCACGAGAAAATTAATTCGAAGAAAATTAAAAAGAAAATATTAGCATGTTCCTTACACGAGGGAAAAATAAAGTTTGAAATGTTTTTATGAATCCACTCGAATTCGGTTACTGATAATTTATTATTAGAAAGTCGTAAAAAAATATGATAACAGTTAGAATTGGAAAGTTTGGACAGGCAAACCCTTCTCGTTAGATCATTCCTATGCAAATATATACTTAAATACATTAGCTGAGGGTCCCTATACGTGCATATATGCTTCTGGTTATAGAAAGAAAATGGAGTTATGCATATGAGTAATGAAACTTATTTCTGGAACTGTGCTTATGCTATAATAACGTCTATAACAATGAACGAAGAGAATAATTTTTACAAAATATCCAATTTTAATCAATCCAATATAAATATAAATATCGTTCTGAATTTAAATTTAAATTCAAATTGGTAGATTTTCTATTATCTCTGTCAGTCATTGTTTGACACTACCACCATTTCACTTCTCTACACAATTTTCAAGATTCTTTTTTTCAAACTAAAAGTCATCTACATAAATATAAAATATAATAATGTAAGTTATGTGTCTCTGAAATATTGGATTGTAGGAAAAGTTTGTGTCGATATCTAAATTTTCATAAAAATGAATATACATATATTTATAAAATCAACACAAACTTTTCGAGCAACCCAATATATAAATATGTTCTTATAAATTATTTACAAAATATAGTATACGTTGCAATATTACACGCAATCAAAATGGTGGAATGACGTAATAGGAAAACTCCTCGAACATGATTAAAAAGATTCTGATAAACTTTATAGAATATATAATCATCATCTGGAACAATCATAAAAATTTACCTAATAATTTTAATATTAATGATAATTCATTCATATATTTGTATATAAAAATACATATATCTAATCTTGAAAAGAACATTATTAAGTATAACAATCACAAAATGATTAAACGATGAATTGTCTTTTATTAGGAGTATAGTCCCTTCTCGAGAGGGGGAAATCTCGACATTAAATCTTGCTAACTTAATCGAACCATGTAACGTCCCTGATAAGAGAAAATATTACCAACTTAGTTGGCAAAAATAATTGTGTACATAAGCTTTCACTTCATGATTCCATTTATTTTCTTTCTTTATTTATTTTATTTTTTTTATTTTGTGTGTTCAATTTCTTTTTTCTTTAATCGTTTCATTATCTTTAACTTAAGATGGCCTGTTTTGACCCTTAAGTATGCGCAGAGCGTTGATAGTGATGCAAAATAATACTCTTCGATCGATAAAGACAGTGGTTCTCAAACAAGATTTCATAGAAGAAACTTTAGAGAGAGAGAGAAATAAATTCCTTTTGCCTCGAACTAATTTCATTAAGGGTTAATACCAATGAGAACAATTTTCTTAGCGACGAGAAAACGAATGTTATTTTTACTTAAAAATATTCTTATGTGTAAGAGTATACGATTAATTTTCTTATCTATGTATATGTGTATTTACACGAAACACGTAAATTAGTTAACATCGAGTTTTGGGTTTGGTTCACTGACGAAAATAAAGTTGAGAGGAGGAAGATAGAGATAGGGATGGAGAGAGAAAGAGGAAGAGAAAGAGAAACTGATATTTTCAAACCTTGAACAAAACCGAGCATAAACTTTCCGTTATAATTTTCTCTCTATCTTTCTCTTAAAGAGAAATAAAAGAGATATTTTATTTCCCCATTGTCGATATTTAAATATCGATATAATATATCAAAGATGGCCAACTTTAATAATATTCCAAGTCATTTGAAAATGTCTTCGCATATTTAGAAGAGTCAAATTAAAATAACTTCAAAAAATCAATCAGATATACAAAAAAAAAAATTTTAAGCATCGTGGCGAATAGTGATTTTTCTTCTTATAATTGTTTTCTTCGTTATAGCTTAGAATAGAAATTGTAAAATAAGATGATTTATAAAAATAGAATTTTCTATACTTCTATTTACAAGCAAGTTAAATTTAGAAAAATAATTTATAAGAAGTTCTAGTAGAAATTATTTTTAAAATTGATCATTGAACCTTGCTATGTGCCGCAAAGATGGCGATTAAACAACCGGAGTTTGGCCATGCATGCCATATGCACGCAAACTTTAACGCAAACACACGTAAGTACAAATGAACTTACGTCAAAGAGAGTACTTTTTTTATTTGAAAAGTAACGATCATGTCATAAATAATTATGTTGTACTTACTAATGCTTTGATAAAGTTAATGTATCGTTGATTAATGATAACAAAATGAACGGGATGTTTCGTAAAACTATTATTTTATAAATTCCTACTAATGTTTTTAATCAACGATACAAATTTAAATTTCATTATAAATGATCAAATATTTCATTTGATGGTTAATTCGATTAAATTGAATATCTCTTTATTCTCGAATTAAGAAAACTATAGTTTAAAGTTCATTTTTAAAAATACAATGTTACGTAAATGCGGACTTTAAATAGGAAATGTGACTTCATTAGAATAATTTAAATATCTTTTTTGCATACATTTCGATTTAATGGATCGTTTATCGAATGTTTGTCACCTCTTCCATGAACAGCTTGAACAGCTGATGCAACACAACATACATACTTACATGTATAAGTTTTTGTTAAGTTAGGAAAGAAAGTTAATATCTCCGTTTATAAACGGAATATAAATTCTCGATTAATAATTTTCTTCTAATCTCTTTTTTATCACCTCTTATTTTTTATTTATATATTTATTTATTTAATTGTTAGCTCACTCGTTTGCCATCAATTGGAAATTGTTTGAATAGATACATAAACGAAAAAAAAATATGCTGAATAATTTTTGTTGTCCACAAAAAGCAGCACAGTGTTGTTATTAAAAAAGAAACAAAAGTAAAAAAGAAAAGAAGAAGACGAAAAAGGAAAACACGATCTTACAACTTACGCGGTTACTTTCTCCGAATTCATTGCAAACCTTGTGCACGCAAGTATGTCAGCCTTTCGAATATCATTGCGAACAAGTTTCATTGTGCATTTATCGTAGATTTATCAGTAAATATAAAAGCATTGTGGATTTATACGACTCCTGTTATAATCATTTATAAAAAGTACATTATAATTAGACCTATAAGTAATATCGGTTGAGCGTAAATTTATCTAACGTTACGTGCCGCATATTTACTACTTGCAAAGTAAATATGCAAACAACAAAATGTCCTAAAATCGTGGCTTTTGCATACGTTGCACGTGTGATGGGACTGGTGCAAAATATCGAACGGCGGTACATAGCTTTGAGCATAATCGTCTTGCGCACCTGCGTTCACCTTGAACTTTGCTGCATTCGTTCCGGTTCCTCCTCTATTGCACTGGAAGAACCAGAGGCATACGAGAAATATGTTATAACGTTAAACGTAATTTTAGGAATAAAAACAATGTTTACATTGCCTTAGTCGAATGTACTTACACCACCTAATTTTGAAATTATTCGTGTAAACAAGTAAATAAATACATAAATGTTATTTACATTAGATATGTACGAACTTAAGAAATTAATAATAATAAACGATTAATTCGATTTAAATTTATATTGAACAATAAGTTAGATACGTGATCCATAACGTTATCAATAGCGGAGTGATTTAAATGCCTGGACGATGATTAAGTTCAACCCACTCGAACGCTTGTTATTTTATCCCCAAAGCTTCTCTCTTTTTCTTTAACATAAAAATGCAAAGAAATTATCCCACGATATAATTATATACGAGTGATCTATTCTCGTGATAGTGAAATTCGAGTTTAGTGTACTTATCGAGATTAAATTCTCCATGTTGTTTTTATTCTTGCTGATGATTAAATATAATCAAATTAGTAACGCTATTTTTACCATGTAACGTCATGTAAAAGGTAAAAGTAAGATTTACCTATTTAAACGAAGAAAGAAAGAAAGAAATAGTGAGAGAGGGGTGGGGCGAAAGAAACCTCTTCTACGAAAAAAAAAAAAAAAAAAAGAAAAAAAAAGTAAATAAGTATCGTATTATCCCCATGCGTCGGTAACAACATCGATCTGGGACACTTTAACCTCGGCTAATGTTAACAACCCCGTTCTCGTGGCCGATATAATTAATTAATTTTTTGTTCTCTATTACTTTAACGTTTAACATATTATCATTAGCATTTCTATTATATTAACCAATACTGAAATTGTTAATATTTAATAGTAACAAACGATCGAAGCTTGTCGATAACGATTTTTATCTCTCTTACTCTAACGAAGAGCGATAAGAAGATGATAATAGGACATTGGCTAAAGATTGACTAATTTTTCGTAAAAAAAAAAAAAAATCAATCGAATATACATCTTTGACAATTTTCTATTTATCTACGTTTCAGCAAAGAATTTCTATTCGTATGTTGTGTATATTTGTGAGAAAAAGAGAGAGAGAGAGAGTACGGCGTTGGCCGATCGGTCGTCGCGGTGCTCGATCAATATGCTCCGTTTTCCCGCATCGAGAACGCCTGCGCGGCCATCGGAGCCGAGCCGCAAGGTAGGCCGATCCGGGAGCCGAAAGAGCCACGAGTACGCACGACTACGGTGACTAGAGCACCAAGCTAGAGCAAGTACCAGAACCAGCACCACCAGCAATACCAGCAATACCAGCAGCAGTACAATAGCAGCAGCAAAACAAGCAACAGTAACAGCAGCAGTAGCAGCAGCCGCAGCAACGTAGAGTCAACGATATTTGGGGTTGCATCTCCTCCACACGTACGGTGTGTGTATGTGCGTGTGCGAGTGTGTTGAGAAGAGGGTTAGCATCAGGCACCACCATCATCATCGTCATCGACATTGACAACTTCTTCGGCGAAGTTGAATTATCGACGAATTGTTGTCCGCAATAGCGCAAGAGACGTCCTTTTTTTTTCTCTCTCTCTCTCTCTCTCTCTCTCTTTCTTTCTCTCTCTCTCTTTCTTTCTCTTTTTCTCTTTCTTTCTCTCTTTCCATTTTTCCTTCCAATTCTCTCCCTTTCTTTCTCTATCTACCCATTTATCTATCTTTTTATATTACCCATTTTCTTTCTCTCACTTTCCACCCTTCTCGATTTTCTTTTATTCTAATCCTACGATCCCGTGAATCTTCTTCTTATTTCGCGTTTGGAAAACGCAAATAGCTTAAAATCGTTAATTGGTCGAAGTCGGGTCAGAGTCCAGCAGCGAAAGAAAATCGCATACTCGCACCAACGGCAGCAACAGCAACTGTCGCAAATCACGACTTATGCGTCTATACCGAGCAGGTAACTCCTTCGATCTTGAATCCACACGACTATCGTCGACCCCAATAATATAGAACGCCTACACCCTCTCGTAGTTCCTTATGTCTGTTACTTTATTACTTCTTTCTCTCTCTCTCTCTCTCTCTCTCTCTCTCTCTCTCTCTCTCTCTTTTTCTCTATTTCTCTCTTTGTATCTTCATGTATGTGTATCGTTCTTCGATCGAAGCAACCACCCTCCCCCTCTTCCTCCTCCTCCTCCCTCTCTTCTTCATTCTCTTCAGAGTGCATATTATTCGTAATGATTTGTTAGTTGAATTTTCTTTTACCGAAGAATTTTTAAAGGATTTATCAAGGTTCGAAGAGACTGATTTAATGTTCACAGCATCTTCCAGATGATTCCTCCGTATGGGAAAGGAGATAATATCGATCTAAAGAAAATAGCACGTCAATAATAATGTCTATTTCTTCCTTATTTCTATAATCATAGCCAGATAGAATCTCTGATAGCACTACGTATTCAAATAAAACACATTTTTTCCTTCTGCCTTTATTTCTCTCGCATATTTTCTTTTTATTTTCTTTTTATTTTTTTTTTTTTTTAGCAACATCAAATGCATCCTTCACGTTCTCTTATCTTGTATTTCCTTCCCCCTTATGCGTACATATCTGTTTAATTAGGCACGCTTTATAACATTTATTATTATTTGTTATTAATAAAAATGTGTTCTTTAATAATAATAATAATAATAATGATAACCATCATCACCATCATCAATAAATAAGAGTAACGAATTTATCGCTCATTCGATTATAACTTTCGAGAGAACGTCGTAATTGTATATATATGTATATGAGATCGATCGATGGAAAATAGCGATTCCTCCTCCGACCATTATCCTTGTCGCGTTTGCACGGGAAACCTGTCTGAGAAGTTGTAAGTGCTCTATTGTTTGATGTTTCAATTTATTACCTTTTGTGATAGTTAAATTACGTTAGAGAACCTTTTTTTTTATTTTATTTATGAAATTTCGTCGAAGAGACACATAAATAACCGACTCTTCCAATCCAAGTAAATGGGAATCTGCGTTCAATGTATCCTGTACGAAATTATTACAAAAAGAAGATATACATTTTTTTTTTTAAATTACATTAAATTTATGTACACATATTTACGTATGAACGATGCTTTAAAAAATAAAAAAAAAAAAAAAACAAGAAAAAAGAAATCTTTCGATCATCGATAGGAGGACAAACATTACATTCATCTGTTAAAAAATTTGTTTGTTTCATTTGTTTCTATCTTCCCCCCTTATTTCATAATCATGAAAAGTTCAGTTTATCACATATTCCTTATGCGACTCCTTCGAAACCTTTCTTGGTAATTAATCAACGAATTTCATTTAAACGGGACGCGTCTGCGTTTGATCTTTGCTATGATGATCCTGGCATGGCCTGCGTTTCTTGGAAATCATTCAGATAATCGTTAATAAGTCGATTGATAAATGAATTTAATAGCAAATATTTATTATTATTATTATCATTCCAAAATCCAATACGAACATATCCGTGAAGTTTAAAGAAAGAAAGAAAAAAAAATGACCGAATCATGAAAATCTCATCCGATGTTTCATTGCCTGAGAACTTTTAGCAGACCTTCCTATACAAGTCATCGACAACTACGAATGGACAAAGGATATTTCTACTATTATCGAGAGATTAGAAAAGCTAAACTACTTCACACACTTCTGTTTAATCATTAAAATAGAAAAGAAACAAAAATCTTATTTAGATATTCGTTAAAAAAGAAAAAAGAAAAAAATACTATAAAATAAAATAAAAGTAAACGCTCTGGAATGTCATTGCATGATGCAACACTTTGGTTCATTTCTCCTTTGAGAAAGATTTTTTAGAAAACTAGGTACACTTACTGAGTACTTTTTTAAAACCACCCTTTTTATATCTTTTATATACTGAATGAAATAAGGAGAATAGGAGAATCGTATAACTAAAAGAATATATAACGAGAGTAATAGGTTGATTTAAAAAGGATATTTGTTATCTTCACAGAAACATCCAGGATATCATCCAGAGAGAAAGGATCGGTGTACAGGAAAGGCGGCGGTAGTAGGACATTGTCCAAACGGTTTACAAACGGCAACACCATCTCGTTCGTTCGGTGCAATCCTTTGGTAGGATCAAGCGGTGAATCGATCGCACCAACCTGGTTTCCAGGGATTCTTAGAGGCACGAGAAACGGACAGGCAGCGTGTATGATCATTGAAGAATATCCCCCTCTGCCCATCAGACCGAGGCAAAATTCGCATCAAGATACCACCCATCGATTTTTAAATCATCTGGTCCTGCCTAAACACAGGACCTCAAAATTTTCCAGGTACGTAATTATAGGAAATTCAATTAACGCGAGCTTGTTGCGTTGCGATTTGCTATGGTGTAAGTAGTAGTGGTAATAATAAGTAGTATTAAATTGATAACATTGATTTTTTCATTAAAACAGTAATAGGCATCGGAAGCTACAACCGTTCAGGGAAACGTGACTATCGTCAGCGGGTAGAGCGGCATACCTTACCGCGGACAACGAAAACCACCCTGACTCGACACGTTACGAGCTACCATCGGGTAGCAATTGCTTCTTGGCAACGTCGCTACACAGCAATCAAACTGCCGCTGGGAAACGTGGGAAGAAGATCTAGAAGAACAAGAACGAAGACGTTACCCACTTGAACTTGAGAGAGAGAGAGAGAGAGAGGATCTAAAAGATTAATAATCCATCCGAGAGAAAGAGGGAAAGAGAGACAGAGATTCTAATACTGGGCCGTTTTTGAACGATCTTAAATATCAAGGTTTTTATTACGATTCACCGTAACGTATTTACAACGACGGCTCATAGGAGGTTACTTTCATTGGAGAGGCTTCTGAAGATTTTGCCGATCACAAGAATAGAACATCCAGCAAAATGGGGAGCGTTAACGTTAATCGTAACGTCAGCGATGCGTTTTATCGTTATAAAATGCCCCGAATTCAAGCCAAAGTCGAGGGTAAAGGTAATGGTATAAAAACCGTCGTGGTCAACATGGTCGACGTTGCCAAAGCTATCGGAAGACCTGCTACTTATCCGACCAAATACTTTGGATGCGAACTTGGGGCGCAAACTCAATTCGATTTTAAAAATGAAAGATTCATAGTTAACGGCTCCCACGATGCTACCAAATTGCAAGATCTATTAGACGGATTCATAAGAAAATATGTCCTTTGTCCAGCTTGCGACAATCCGGAAACTGAGTTGATGGTCAGTTCCAAAAAAGGAACCATCTCGCAAAGATGCAAAGCCTGCGGTCATCATGGCTTGCTCGAGAGCAATCATAAGTTGAACACTTACATCTTGAAAAATCCGCCCAGCTTGAATCCCGCGGTTCAAGGCAGCTCATTAACCGAAGGTAAACGTAGAAAACGTTCTAAGGCTCGTGCTAATGGGGAAACCGCTGCTACAACCAACGGAGATCGATCGGGATCTCCAGAAAACGAGAACAACACTTCCGACATCGTGGTCGAGGTTCCGGAAAAAATTGCTGATAACGAACACGACGATGATAAGTGGGCTGTTGATGTGTCGGAGGAAGCGGTTAGAGCTCGCCTTCAAGATCTGACCGATGGGGCTAAAGGAATGACCATCAGCGATGATCTTGATAAGACTGAAAAAGAAAGAATGGATATGTTTTACAAACTAGTTAAATGTCGTCGTGATGCTGGACAATTGGACAACCATAAAGAATTAATTACAGAAGCTGAACGTTTAGAGATCAAAACTAAAGCACCTTTAGTACTGGCAGAATTACTTTTCGATCAATCAATCGCTGCTCAAGCCAAAAAGTATCGAGTTTTGTTACTTCGTTTTACCCACGATGATATTAAAGCGCAGAAGTATTTGATCAGAGGAATCGAGCAAGTAATAGCTCTGCACAAAGATGCTCTGATGCCAAAAGTTCCTGGTATTCTGAAGGTATGATTTCTACGCATTCGCATACTTCAATAACCATTTTCTTGTCTTGATTTGTTTTATTATTTAACTAAATAAATTGTCATATCAAAGCTGATTCAAAAAATCTTGTTTTTTTTTCTCAGCTTTTCTATGATGCCGATATATTAGAAGAGAAAGCCTTATTAGAATGGTCAAGCAAAGTTAGCAAAAAATATGTGTCGAAAGACTTGTCTCAAGAAATACATGATAAAGCAGCACCGTTTTTAACGTGGCTAAAAGAAGCGGAAGAAGAAGAATCAGAATCTGATGAAGAAGATGATGATTTAGAAGTGGGTGATATAAACGATGATACATTACTTCTTCTTAAGATTACGTCATCCGTTACGAAGCATTTAATTTTTTTCTTTCCTTTTTTTCAGATTGAATACGATGATCGTGCAAAACAATCCTTAAAACCTCAGCAATCAGCACCTGCTTCGAAACCTGTTGGAAACGATTCTGACGAAGAGGGTGACTTCGATATTGATGCCATTTAAGAGAAAAGAAGAAAAGAAAAAACAACGGATAAGATTATACTTTTTGGTTGGATATGAAAGTGTAAGAAGAAAAAAAAGAGTATATGTCTGATATGAATAATCATTTTCTGTAGGATACAAAGAGTCGCGATTCGATGCAATGTCAGATCATCCTGTATAGAATTTTCTTAATTTAGGCCAAAGTTACAGGAGCAGTTACAATGCCATTATATATACATATATATATACATATAAATATCTAAAAAAATTTTATCTATTTTAAAGTTTAACATTTATCTGTATCATCATCACAGTTATATGCATATATTTTTCTTTTTGGGGTTTTTTTTAATCATTTGATTACGCAATTATTATGTCATTAAAGTCTAATTATTACTCCAAGATATGAGATATTGGAATGCTCTTACAATTGAATAATAAAATAAAATATTTATAGTTTTTAATCATTATTGGAGAAGAAGAAGAATGAAAAAAAAAGTTGGCCTGCTAAAAGCGTTCTCTATTGTATCGATTTACTATTCTGATAATAACCATTCAAATAAATATCGTTTATTGTAATCAGCATCTATTTTTTAATTGTTTCATTTATAAATAATATTTTCTACGTCCCACTTATATATGTTCTCATAATATCTATAATAATAATAATATTGTATTATATTACAAATATATTCACACACATATAACATCAAATCAATTTCAATTGAACTAATTATAATCTTGAAAGCATGCCTAATATTTATAATTAAATAGTACTTATTTATTTTTCACGTACGGTTCTTATTGGTCGAGAAAATCATTCTGACCAATGATAGCATCGCAGCAAGATATCCAACTTATTCAAAAAATAATATTAAAAAACATCGTATCATTGTATTATTAATTAGTATTTTCACTAAAATAATATTTACCAAAAATAATGTTTGTTATTCAACGATCATAACGTTAAAAAAGAAAAAAATAGTAATAAATTTTCATAGATGTTAATAGTATCAAAATATGCCGATATAGTAACTAAACGCTGCGATCGCTACCGCATCGTTCTATATAGTTGTAACATCTTACAATTGGTTGACAACAGTGTATAATACGGGGTATCATCTTTCTTAAAATTATTGTCACAATTTTAACCCTTTTCTTTTGATATTCGTTAAAAGTGACTGATTAAAAGTGAATAGGAAAATAAACATTAAGTTAACTGGTCAAACATATCTCGAAGAAATTGTGCCGGTAAATATGTGATCATTGTCCATGTTCTTATACAGTGAGAGAACTCCTCGCCATTTTACAATTAGTTCATCGTCAGCTTGCGAACCGTGTCGAGCCCGAAATCTCTATGCAACATTTTCTCTCTCTCCTGTGCTTTCGACCGTCTCGATATGGTTTTCAGGTAAAACGAAAAATTAAATAAAATCAAACAAAATTAAAATCACAAATATTTAGAGAGGGAAATCTTAATGTTTCCAGCTTGTATTAAAGTTAAAAGCGGTTAAAATATCGCGTCTAGGCGAATGGAATTAATATCATTTGTTACGTGTATATTTTCTTCTTCGTCGTTTGTACAACCAGTAACAATTCTTCGTTACCATAGAAGAAACGAACGGAATAAATAACGTCAAGTAATCTACATTTTCCTTTTTGGTTACGAACGTTATCAATCTTTTGAAAAATTAGAACACGTTCTACGACACGTCGCTATTTAAATTTGTCCAAAGAAGGAATTTAAAGGGGAAACAAAATAAAAGATAAAAATACAACGAAAGGATCGTGATAATCTTTATGATAGTGGGATGATACATTGAGAGTGAAGGAGGATTCCTGCATGGACCGTTCTCAAGAGTAAGTTCAGTGTACATATGGCTATGTGTTTTTTTACTACTCTCTCAATGTTTACTCTTATTCTTCTTCCTTCTAAAATAGTACATTTTTTAAATATTTCATTTTTATTTAAAACTTTACTTTCGATTATCCATAGCCACGCCTTTTTTTGAACTAACAGGTGTAACCGGAAGTTAATACTTTTCGTTCGTTACCGTGTTATATTTCTATAGTGCACCATTGATGAAAAATCACCTACCGTGACCACAACTTCTATCATCTTCGTTTATTTCTTAAAGAATCAGATTCACTGGTATTATCTTTTATTTCTTTTCGAACTTTTGTACTAACGATATGTCATTGTGATCATATTTGATAATTCATTTTCAATTGATATTTAATAATATTTTAGAATAGAAATGTGTGTACAATATCAAAATTACTTTTCTTCGCATAACTTGAATGAAAGTTATTGAAAATATTGAATCTTTTATTTGCTAAAAGCGATTACAGTTATTGGATACAATTTTATATTAATTGAGAATTTGGCATATTTGAATATCTTTGTAGTTATTACATCCTAACATATATTCTCCTTTTCATTTATAATTATTTTTATATTGATTCGCATAATATTAAATAGTATCAGATGTTACCGTCTGCAGTAAACTCTGCGAACAGTTCTGTCCTAGCAAAGGAATAAGACTAACGGTTTAATAAAGAAACCATAGACATAAATGAAATAAGTTGAACGTATGGTACTAGTATCATCGCTTGATGAATTTAAATGAACGCATGAATGTATTTATTAATATAGCAGTTTAATATCCATTGCTAACTTTCACCCCATGTTAGGATCATATATAAATATCATTTATTTTATTCACTTTATAATATTAATCATATATGAAAGATAGTAATTAAATATACATTCGGCAAGTTAATGTTGTCGATTGTTTATTAAAAAGAAAAACAAAAAAAATGAATAGAAAAAATAACAAATAATGTATTAAAAAAAAAAGACATTCTCAATTGATTATTTCCAACGTGTCTCGCGAATAACGTAATCCATTCTTCCGATCAGTGACGTAAGCATCTATTTTACTCTATATACCTGACGAGGATTGATCGAAAAATAGGATCGGTTCAATACTCGAATGGAAAAAGAAATCTATCCCCTTATGAAAGATAAATATGGTTATCAAATTAAAATATATATATTGTGTATATACACAGAGGGTGTTTTAGAATAATTATTTCTAAGTATTCAATCAAATGTAATTGATAGCTTTATTAGGGAAAGTTATTTAATTACGTGGCCTCTATCACATTCTAAAAATTAATAATAATTATTTTAAAATAAAACTCTTTTTTGTATATATGTACCTATCTGTATATTTTCTTTAAGGCCTCTGCCCACGTACAAGTGTGTTCAATGAATTTAAACAAATCCTATTAAAGAAATTTACAATTACAATGTTAAAATAAATGTTCTTAAACAAATAACAAATTTCTCGTCGTCCATGATAAATAAATAATATATAATAATTATTTATTTAATATATAAAATTCAAATATAAAAAGATACGAATGTGCCTTAGTTCGACTAAACGAAATAATACTACTAATAGAGTTTTCTTCCATCCCTTCGGTAAATCGTAGTCGTTCTGAAAATTCCCGAGAATCTAAATTCGAGAAACCGAGTTCGCCGCACTAATACTACGTACACACAAGAAAGAGACAAGACAAGACAAGACGATGGTGTACGGTTCTTAGTTTCTCTAACATGCAAGCAACAGCACAGCACAGCACATGGCATATCATTCTGAATGCATCGTAGTCATACTATGACTCATCGACTACACCAGACCAACTGGATCTCCCTCGTAGCTTGGAGAATTGCGAAAACGATACGTTGCAATTTTTCACTACTAAAGAGATTCTACCTTCACCGTAATCATAATGTTTTAATAACGATCGTTATGTTTCAGAAAATAAAAAAAGAATGATAGATTATTATATCTATACGTATAATGAGCCAACAATTTTTATGCTTATCAAACATTTGAGATGAAAAATAATGTTAACTTTGGTATTGTTTTTCCTTTTATTTATTTTTGTTATTGATCAAATTTAATTAATTCTTCCTCATTAACTTTGGCACATAACAACAAGTCTCTTTCTCTCCCGTTTGATTTCATAAAGTGGATTCTTGTTGATTGCAAGGGTTACTATCTCTCTGGTAAACTCGGAAGAACGCACTCGAGTACAAAGTGCTTTCCAATTAGCACGGTCGAAGATAGAAACTAACATTAAAACGTAGCCAGCCAAGCGTCGAAGTAGGACTGATATGTCCGTTCTGTGTTAAAATAACACAAGTTTTTCCTTTGAAATAGAAATATATTATTTTGTCAAAAGTATGTATATCTAATACAAAAATTATAATCCGACTTTGATGGAATTTTGTATTTTTGTATTTAAATTTCATTTCATTTTTGTATCTCTTATACTTACTTTTGAAACCAATTATATTTTATTTATCAACTTTTTTGTATTTTTTGTATTAAAGAATAAAAAATAAATGTTTTAGTGTAACACGATAAAATGAAATCTTATATACAAGGTTTCCGAGAATGAAGGTAAAGGTAAACACGTTCAACGTCCGATCGAATAAAAAGATTAATGGGTGAGAGAGAAAGAGATTAAAATGGTTATAGGATTTTAGATGATAGACATTTTTGCATGGTATGGTAGAGAGAGAGAAAGAGAGAGAGTTGCTTTAATCAATATTATGACGTTAGTATTGATTTCTGATTAGTATTTTCTGAAACATGAAACCGTTCATTGATCATTTCATTTTTCTTTTTTATTATGTATTACATAAGAATATTGGAATTATTTTCATTATAATTTCTAGGATCTGACAACTTATACACAAATAACTTTCAACAACAAAATTTATCGTCAAAAGATTTTGAAATTTGATTTTAAAAAAACACTCTGAGTTTCATCGTTGTATTGTAGAAATATAATAGTGAAAAAGATCTTCTTAAAGTATTGAAAAAAATAAGGGATATCACAAGTGTCCCCTTGAATAGTCCCTTGAATAGTCCTTTGAATAGTCCCTTGAATGATTGCCCTTTACCTTCGTAAAGGTTCCTAGTGACCAAGTAACGTTCTTATTGTCATATCCCCAAGTTGATTCTTACCGAAGGACAGGAAATAGGCGGTACATATTGTGTTTTTCAGAAAACCGGCACGCCATTCATGTATATCTCGTTGCACCCTCTCGACATCGCAGCAATGTTAGATTGCGTGTAACCCAGCCTATAGGAAGTCGACTATGAGAAGGGGTTTCGCGCAAGCGTATTTCACTACTCTCCTCATCCACCCCCGTGAAACGAAGAGAAAGAGAGGGTGGAAAGCCAAAGCTTAACCCTCAGTGAAGACTTTAACGCGGACCAGTAAAGTCCGATTCCGTGATTCAAATCTAGATAATAATATATATATATATATATATACATATACATACATATATTTTTCTACGCTCTAATAAGAATTAACGGTCCTGTTAAAATCATATAATAATAACATTAATAATAATAACAATAATAATAATAATCATCATCATCATCATAAATGATTCGTATATTAAAAAGTACGGTGACAATATTTGTCTTAGTTGTTCGTGATCATTCTACTTATATTTCTACTACTGTTTCTTACTTATAAGAATAAAGACGACGAAGGGAATCCGGTGGTTATAGAAAAATCTATCTTTTTTATACGGAATAGGTAAGGTCTGAAGGGAATCAATCCGACATTACCGATGGGTAGAACACATATGTCAAAAACGCTGAACGCTTATAGAATGTGAGTAGATCGTTTTATTTATCTAGTCCTTTTCGTTTACGTTAGATTCTTTAGCAATATTTTCTTTTCGCCAAGTTTTCTATTTTTATTTGTTCATTTTTTCCTTTTTTCAATTTAAATCCCATCGTGTCCGTTGTTCATTTCGTTATTCGTTCTCGAAGTCGGTTGAGAAAAGGAATGCGTGCAATGTATCGTTGTTCGTAAAGACGATGAAAGGAAACACCGTGTCGGTGGTTGATATCATGCGGATTCACTGCGTTTCCCTGCCAACCATAATAGCGCGTCATCTTCTTCCTCGTATCCGAAAGAAGAGAAAGCCGGTAGGATGATAAAACCCAACAACTACGACAACGACGACGACAAAGACTACTACGATGATCCTAAGGACGAGTTGTATTAAACACACAAGAAAAGATAACCAATTTTATTATACTTTCTCTCGCGTTTCATTAGAAATAGATTTTTCTTTTTTCTTTTTTAGATTAAATAAAATTAGGGATTTAACTTTAAGTTAAAATAAGAGAAAGTTAATGGAGTAAAAGGTTCTTGTAATACGTTTTATTACGAGAAAGGTTGTCGGGTGCATGGATCAGAAGGTGAAATACACCAGCATTCGACTCGTTCCTGATTTAAATCCGATAAAGATTTTCATTTGGGTTAATTCAAATTTATGCACTTAATCGTTTAATCCTATTGCGAGAATTTTCTTTTCGATCCTTAACGTTTGTCAAATTTTTCTTTCAAAAWAAAAAAAAAAAGAAAAAAAAAAAAGAAAAGAGAAAAAGAAAAATTAATCGAAGATAGAAAGAAAAATATCTTCGTTTTATTTCTAAATTTTCCATTAAAACTATTTTTTTTTTTTTGTTATCTACGTAAAAATAAGTAGGAATATTCTTCATACGTATGTATATCATACGAATTGTTGGAATGGTTAAACAGGAACAATAAGAAATATTTAATAAGATTACAAATGATCGATCAGAGTTACGACGGTGAAACATGCGATAAATAACCTTCGAGTTTGATTCTAATCTTGATTACTTTGTTTTTTATTTGTATTTCTCTTTAAAAAAATTTCAACGATGCAGTTTATCAAAGTTCTAATAATAAAACATACGTAAAATCATTAAATAGATAAAATCAAAACTGGAAGAGCCCTCTCTCTTTCTCTCTCTCTCTCTTTCTAAGAGACTTTTATCAAATCGTGTGATACGAGCAAACATAGGAATATTATTCGTAATTGGGGATGTGCAAAGGCACGGTCGGAGGACGGAATTTCGATTTGATTCGTAAATAAAATTCTTTTTAAAAAAAAACAAAAAAAAAAAAAATCAAATAATATTAATAATAATAATAAAATTAGCTTTCACCCGAAGAACGACGAAGAAGAAGAAGAAGAAGATCGAATAAACTTTTATACTAGGCTGGATAATATTTATATTCTGATTTTCACGCGTCCCAAACACGTTTTGGGTGAATGCGCAAGAAGGCAAGGCTTTTTAAAAAGAAACGAGATCTAACAGGGAGAGGGGAGGGAGATCTTTCAATGCGAACTCATTAACCAGACACGCATTTTTAATCTCTCCTCGTGTTATTAACGGACGCTGACTTTTCGCTGACGAATTGTCGCGTTTTTACGGTACTTTTTCAATGAAAAGTAAACCCCTTCTTATGTCAGCGAAAAAGAGTAGTTCTCTCTCTCTCTCTCTCTCTTTCTCTCTCTCCCATTCTCTTCCAAGAGAATGCTTTAAAATCTCCACGTTTTTCTTACGAAAGTATAATCCCTTGTTTATTAGGCGAGACAGGAGAGAAACGTGCTGTTGTTATGATTTCTTCTTTATTTTGTATGTTCCTTTTTTAACAAATACACCGTCTGAAAGACTTCCAACGAAGAATTAAAGTACTTTCGATCGATTTTATCGAAACGTTGCCTATCGATATACCTAACGATCTATTCCTTTACCCGGAAAATACGAATTATTTCCGATACAATAAAAAGCAATATACTATAGAAGGAATTGCGTGAGGTCAAGGTTTATCTAATAGGTATACCCATAAACCAACGAAAACTGACCTTATTATACAGACTACACATGAAGAGAAAAAGAGAAAGACATTCTCATCGTTTCTATTACTTTAGTCTCTCGTAACTCTAACCGGAGATCGATCTCTCCTATCTCATTTTCATTAGAAATTTTCTCTTCGATATAAACTGACGCCTTTCTCTTTCTCTTTTATTATTTTCCTTAGCTTTCCTAGTTATATTTTATGTCTCTTCTATTTGCTTCTCTCTCTCTCTCTCTCTCTCTCTCTCTCTCTCTCTCTCCCTCCCCCTGTTATTCTCTTTGTGTGTTCATCTGTATACGTATGTATATAATGCGTTTTTGGTATGTATGTATGTATCGTATATAGATACATAGGATATACGTATATATGTGTAATATACATATATCTATATGTATGCTGCGTCGCATAAGTGCAAGGCAGCCGAGATGTTGCGCTTGCGTGGAAATATTGAGCCATTGATTTCCGTAGCTTTTAACGCGGCCCTGACATGGGGTAAGTTCCTATCTAGATTATTTTTCTTATAATCGTACTTTTGCCAAGACACTTCGGTTATCATCTTTGGTCGATAACATTCCAATAAGAGGTACAATTAGTTGGACATTTTCGAATTCGTCGTAATCCCTTTTCTCATAAAGTTCCGACCTTCCAAAGACATTCTTGGCCTTCGTTGGACTCGCCAACTGCGACGATATCTACTGTTCTCTGTTAGTCTACCTTTGTCCTCTCTGTCTATCCTTCAATATCTTCTTCTCTTTCTCTCTTTCTCATCCTTTGGGTTTGCTCGTGTCCTCTCTTTTCTTTTCATCGATCAAGAATACTTGTGGTTTCCTATTTTTAAATACGATTAATTAACTGGCTCGTAAAAGAAGCGTTTACCTCGAGCGAACCTGTTTTTGTGCGTGGCAGCTTAATCATTCTTACAATGTCGTTTTCTTCTTCTCTACAGTAAAGGACTTCCGTCCTTTCGTTCGTATTTAGAATTCATTCAAATTTGATGTAGCGTGTCTGTTATTTTCTCTTTCTTTTTTTTTTTTTTTATCTTCTTTCTTTATTAAAAATCTCTTTGCTTTTTTTTCTATACATTAATGCGATCATTTTTAACAAAATGCGAGAACAGTTGCTGAATTAAACATGCTAGTTCAATATTTTTGCACACTATCTTTTTCTATTTTCTTTTTTTTTTTTTTTTTTTCTTTGCTTTCTTTGCTTTCTTTGCTTTGATAGAGTCATATATTGTAATATTAAATATTACAATGTTATTTATTATTTTATAGCAAGAAAATAGAAACTATTGGCAGGATGACGGCCATGACGCAGGAAGAAATTATGGCTGGGGCACGTACAGTGGCCCAGGGATTGGAGGCTCTCCGGGTTGAACACAGCGGCCTCTTACAAGGATTGCAATCACAAGAAGCACCAGCTGCTCGAGATAAATCCACTCTTTTATCGAAGAACATCGAAATGATAGAATTGGGTTTGGGAGAAGCTCAAGTGATGATGGCATTGGCTAGTCATTTGCAAATGGTAGAGGCAGAGAAGCAAAAACTTAGGACACAAGTTAGAAGATTGTGTCAAGAGAACGCATGGTTGAGAGATGAGTTGGCAGGAACGCAACAAAAATTACAAGCTAGCGAACAAGCGGTAAGTTTTCAAATGTATGTAAGTGTCTATAATTTTTGATAATTTATAATTGAGACAAGCGTTAAAACAAATCTGCGTTTCATTTTGACACAGGTTGCTCAATTGGAAGAAGAAAAGAAGCATTTGGAATTTATGACTAGTATGAGACAATATGATCCTGATCCTTCTGCGGATGATGAAAATGCTAAGGATAGACCGGTAGATGATCCTGTAGTTGATCTATTTCCCGATGATGATGCAGATGACCGAAACAGTAAATGTATGTATTCTTTTTTCTTTTTCTTATGATCCTAATTACAAATCTTGTTTGCTTTATTTAATTAAATCTCACGTTGTTGTTGTTGTTGTTGTTGTTGTTGTTTATAGCGATATCACCTACACCGCCATCACAATTCGCACAGCAAGTCAATGCTGGATATGAAATACCAGCACGCTTGCGTACTTTGCACAATTTGGTAATACAATATGCAAGTCAAGGACGTTATGAAGTAGCTGTACCTTTGTGCAAACAAGCACTGGAGGATTTAGAAAAAACTTCCGGTCATGATCATCCCGATGTTGCAACGATGTTAAATATCTTAGCATTGGTATATCGAGATCAAAATAAATATAAAGAAGCAGCTAATCTTTTAAATGATGCATTAGCAATAAGGGAGAAGACACTTGGTGAAAATCACCCTGCGGTTGCTGCAACATTAAATAATCTTGCAGTTTTGTACGGAAAGCGAGGAAAGTACAATGAAGCAGAACCATTGTGTAAGAGAGCCCTCGCTATTCGGGAAAACGTTCTTGGATTTGAACATCCAGATGTAGCTAAACAACTAAACAATCTCGCATTATTATGTCAAAATCAAGGAAAATACGAAGAGGTGGAACGTTATTATCAGCGAGCTTTAGAAATATACGAAGCAAAGCTTGGCCCAGATGATCCTAATGTGGCAAAAACGAAAAATAATCTTGCTTCTTGTTATTTGAAACAAGGCAAATATAAGGGCGCCGAAATTCTATACAAACAAGTATTGACTAGAGCACACGAGAAAGAATTTGGTGCTATTGATGAAGATAATAAACCTATTTGGCAGGTAGAGATTAAGAAATATTTTCTAATTTCATTTATTTTCGTTTACTTTTAACTTTATACGTCCATATGGAATAAAGATACGCATATATATATATATATATTCTCGATTTATTATACCTAAGGTTGCGGAAGAACGAGAAGAAAATAAACATAAAAATAAAGAAAATACTCCTTACGGCGAATATGGTGGATGGTATAAAGCGGCTAAGGTCGATTCCCCAACGGTTACAACTACATTGAAAAATCTTAGTTCCCTATATAGAAGATTAGGCAAATACGAGGCTGCAGAAACTCTTGAAGACTGTGCCTTCAGATCAAGAAAAGAGGTGAGTTGTTATTTGTTTCCTTATTATTACAGTACAGTAGAAAATCTTTAACTGTATTTGTTAATGAAACGTACCTGTCTATTTTACATGCAGCCAGTACAGCAGGTGAGCAAGCTGTTCACTAAGAATATTTATTATCAGTATTTCTTATTAATGTAAAAGCTATCATACATCCCCTTTACTAGCAAAAAGTTGTTTAGCAAAAGATCATTATTACAGTTGAATTAATAGAAATAATTTATTTAGAGATATTAATGTTAAAGTTTTATTATTTTTTTGTCTGCCAATATTAAATTTTGATTTATGTCCGAATATTCTACTTTTTAAATGTTCCCTTTGTCGAAATATTTATTTTTTAGTTAACTTATTTGGGTACCATAAAAGACAATCTTTTTTGTTCTTTGTATTTAGGCATTAGATCTAGTGAAACAAGCTAAGGTGGCTCAAATATTAGGAGATGAAAAAGGAACAACTAGACGTGGATCACGATCGAGTTTTGCTAATAGCGAACACGAACAACACGACGAGGTGGGTTGTGTTAAGACAAGTTAAAAATCATCGGTTGCACTGCATGTAGTAGCACACCATTAGTTGTCTACTATCCTTTTCTTCTTTCTTTTTGTTCTTTTTTCGTTATCCGGCCCGTTGTGACGATTTGGCGATACAACACACAATCACAGGGTTCGCTGCCACTGGTGCAAAGGGCGCTACATGAAGGACAATCTGGCCACCACGACGCTAGTCCTAACAAACCCGGTTTTAAAAACAAGATCTTTCAAGCTTTCGGGATTCATTCTTCCACGTAGGATAATTGTCCGTTTGTAGTATCGCTTGTCACTGATTTTTTCCCCTAATATGTACGCAGATTTAAAAGTACTGCTGAATATCTATATTCTTAGGAAAGAGGAGGGCAATTCAATATTTAAGGGGATTCCTTTATTTTAGGTATCCTTAAACTTTACAAATATCACGTTGTATTCGAAAATGCTGAAGGATACTATAATCGTGCGATATACATATTATTATGTCTCGTAGAGTTGCCTTTTTAGGGACATCTACAACTGGCTGTATACGTGTGTGTGTGTGTATTTCTCTGTGTTTCTCGGCACTGTTTCATTGCACTTGCATTAATATTCAACTAGAGAAACGTCAGTACCTATTTTCTTCTCTATAATTTGCAATGTATTGTCACAAAAATACAGTGCAATCAATTTTCATCGTTCACATCGGATATATGCATATATACATTGTAGAAAACAATGAAGCGTTATTAATTACTTCCAATCTTTAACTGTGATAACGCCTTGTGTTTATTTTTTTAACGTAAATATGAGAACATCATAAATAACGTTTGAAAAAGATATTTTTAATCTGAGGCGCTTGATATGATATGATATATAATATATATTTGATTATTTTAAATTATGTGTCTTATAGAAATACGTTAATATCTAATCTCATAAAACAATAATACTAAATGTCATTTGCATTTCACGCCTTATGGTTCCTTAATAGAAAAAGAAAAAAAAAAGGTAGAAAAACAATTTAGATGTTCTATTTTAATATGCTGATAATTGTTAACTTCTCTATTAAGGATAATTTTTCTTATTAATAAGAGATTTTAAATTATTTCTTACACATTATAACCGGATTATCTCTGTGAAACCAAAAGTAGTGTGGAATGATGACACACGTGTGGTAAAGATAGAAGTTTTTAGTAACAGCTTTGCTCGACTATATAGCTTGGTATAGATTAGCAAAGATAATTTACAAAAAAAAAAAGTAAAAAAAAAAACATAGAAAGTATGAACCAAATGAAGTTTATGGATTTTTATATGTAATTTTATATTTATTCGTTTTATATACTTTATCGAAAATTGTTCTCATCTTATAGTTTCGAATTTAGGCATTCTAATACATTTTGAAAATAGTTGATTCTTCCCTAGACTCGGAATTCTCTCTTGAGGAAACTATTTTTAAATCTTCCTACACAATAACTTTGCAATTTTATTCTCGAATTTTACACATTGACATCGTCACAATTGTATTCTGTTAATTGTCTTGTGATATAAGGTGTCTCGAAATTATGTTCTTGTATTGCTGTATATTTAAAATATTAATTTATGTGTATAATAAGAAGAAAATATTTTGTGCAATTTATTAAGTTAATTATATACTTTTCATTTATATATATCTATATATATAATAGTAATATTAATAATAATAATAATAATAATAATAATAATTTAATTGAAAATTTTGTTCTTGCCTGTAGCTTATAAAAATCTCAGGAGAATACATAAAAATAACTATTTCTTCCAATTATTATATTATTCGAGACACCATATACCGAGTTCTGGTGAATGATATCGATATAATAATATTCTTATATTATCTTTTTACTTTCCTATAGGTAGGATGAAACGCTGTATTATAAATTAATTCTTAGTAATTTTCTTTTTAATTTATCACTTTAACAAACACGAGAGTAATAAGTAAAAGTAGTGCCTTGATACTTTAATAAATAAATAAAAAAGAAAGAAATAAATTATTTTCTAACAGAGTAATTTAATTTGTTACTTGACTGATATCACATAATATTTAATAATAGCTCTAATGGAGCACAAAGTAATACATGTATAGGAATGTTGTAAAGAAGAGTATGAGCTACATACATCCCGAATGGTATTATCAATATTTGAGTTACGTGCATTCTATTTCTGTTTTGTATGAAGCTATCTATATATGGAGGAATCATTTTTTGTATGAAAACTTGTTATATTAAGATAACTAAATCTTGCATTAATTTTCCTCGCACGCATTTGTGTTTAACCACATTATTATTATACTGTTTTGGAATATCTGCGTTGTTGTTTTGTTTCGCTTTGATTTGAGTACTGCAGGCCAGAACTTAGGTATGGATTGCACTGGATTATGACGCGTGGACATCAGAGGAAATATATCGGGCATGACAAAACAGGTGCGTATTTGTAGAATTGGATATTTACTGTTATCTCATTATATAATGCACAAGTTAAAAATTATTTATCTTTATTTATGTTTCTATTTTTGCATTTTCCTTCTATTTTTCTAGTATGCAGACCCTGATTTTTTAACACCAATGAGAGAGAGAGAGAGAGAGAGAAGAGCTTATGTTTTATAGATATTATTATTTTACTTATATTGTAGTTATAAATTATTAATCGCTGTTCTTAATGTTTGCTGCTGTTGAAAACTACATTATTCTTTTTAAATTGAATATATCATTAAGTATGCAGTGTGAAATCCTTTTAAGTACAGTGATTAATTATAGCAAAATTGTGTTTGTTTGCCATATGCTTGTTTATGAAAATTGTTATATGCACACACAGTAGTTTAATATAAACAATGCATTTTTTTCAGCTATAATCACCTTCATAACATAAATAGATCTTGAAGCATAATAGTATTAATTACTATAAATGGTGGTTTACAAGGTTCGATAATACATTATATAATGTTATAAATTTAGTGAAATCATTTTCACTACATGAATTCATAGGTCATCATTTTACCTAAATTCTGCATAGGCTATTTTTTAAGTTAATTTATTACAAAGCCTTTGCTCCTTATGTTTTTTTGAATAATTTTTATATTTTATTATGAAACTACAAAGTGTGTACAATACCATTTTTTAATTAATATAAAAAATACTCTTTATGTTACAGGATCAGAAATACTCAGTTCGTGCTCAATAAAGGACATGATTTAAGAGAATTAAAGTGATAAATATGAAGCAATTTATAAGGGCTCTGCAATATTTTCACCTAATGTTGACTGATGTCCTATGTCTGGGTCGTTTACATATACGGCACATTCCAGCTGCTTTTAACCAGATGCACTATGTGAAGTTCATTTTAATCTCAAATATTAGCTTTACATTAGCAATTGATGATTGTTATAGCAGTTTCAAGGTAAATCGATCCACTCTGCTTAACATTTATCTAAATCAAAATGCAAGCTGTAATGTTGGCATACAAAACTAAGTTAATTTTCACTCAGAATCAAAGAAAATAATATTGACAATGATACTGGCCAAATCCAAACTTTTAAGAAATTTAATAAAACGATTAAACAATAACAAGCGTTATAATTAGAGTATTCGGTTTCTATACATTTTTGATAGTTGTATGCACACATATCTTACATTATTCATACATGCCCTATATGACATTGCATAATCATTCCATAAACTAGCTTCAATTGAAAGGGAATCAGTGCTTTAGGGAATGTTTGTATGTCGCTTGAAAGTTGAAATACATGTAGCATTACACTCTATGCACGTAGAATTATGTGAGCATACCGTCATTATAATTAAGGCTATCAAAGTGTATATTTAAAAAAAAAAAAAAGACAATTCCAGAGCATTTTTAATTATTACAAATTTAAAATCTATACTATAACTGGATTGGCACAACTATTTACGATTTTTGAAGTAAACTGATTTTAAGTTTCTTTTGCATACATATATATGCCGCATGTATAAACATAAAGTTATATATGCATATACATGCAGTATATATCTGCAATACTTAATTTATATATCGTCCTGTTTTCTGTAGTATAATATTATTTATCGGAAAAAAAATTAAATTTACTTCAAAATCGTTTCATCTACATATATTAAATTATATATTTATATTTCAAGCCACCAACTTTGTGATAGGCTGTGAGTGGCATATTATTTTTAAGTTTAAAAAAAAATTGAAAAACAAAGAACATTTAAATCCATCAAATTCATCTATTATTATACCATAGAAATGTGGTAATCAAAATATGTGAGATTGTGCAAATAATATTGTTGCATTAATCGTTAATTGTAATCTTTGTTTTGTTTATGTGATTATGACTATCCCATTGTATTCAGTATGAAGTTATTATCGAAGAATATATTGGTCTTATTAATGTACACTATATTAGATCTGTCATTATTGTTGTGGTGCTTTACTTTTTTAATATTTCATCAGACAACTTCAAAATATTATATATACTTGTATACCTGATATTTTCAATATCTTTTAGTTATTTCGTAATTGGAATTAAATGCAAAGAATTTTGTTAAAATGGATCTATTATTGTATTTATACACTTTACAAAATTATTTCTTTTCATTAAATATTTATATTTTCATTATATTAACTTCATAATATTTCATTATCATTTTATTAATTTATACATTGCGTTTAAGATATTCATTTTACGTGTGCTCTCAATATAATTGCTCAATGCATTTAAGACAGATATCATGCGCCTGAGAGCTCGGAGGCCTAGATTTTGAAACGTTTAGTATGTGGTATATCAATTTAATTGCATAAAAGTGTTCACGTGAAATTGTAGAACGACGATCTACAATTTTATTAGCACTGTATTGTTCAATTGACAAATACTGCACTTCAATATAAAAATAAGTACAAGAATATTATTTGTTTTCTCAATTTAAGATCGGTCATGAAGAAAAAATAGAAACAAAATTAATATGAATATATAGTTGTTGAATAAATACAAAAAAGAAAAAAAAAAGAAAACAGAAAATATATGTTAAATTTATAAACGCTGCTGCTTTAATGAAACATTTTACGATTGAAAAAATAATTATAAACAATTTTATTTATGTACGAATCTATATTTTATTGAATGTTTGCTTTCTATATATATGTTACGTTGTAATTTTTAATTACTCCAATTTTATAACAATGCATTATTTATACTAATACCGTGTTAATTTGATAAAATTTGTTATTTACATCATACTGCAAAAGCATTGATATTTTACTGCGCCTACATAATTAAATAGTCGATTGGATTTAAATACGTAAGAAAGCTAAAAAACTATTTCTTACTATTTTGTATTTGAGAATGAATGTGCGATACAATAGTTAACACTCAAAAAAATTCATATTCTTACTCATCCATCTGCAAGTATATATATATAAATATATATATATACATAACGTTTTAACAAGAATACATATAGTAACAATACAATATTTTAGTATTGTAGCTCTCAGGTGCAACTATTGTTATTCAATAATATGTAAGTTCCGATTTATAATAAATATTACAACTTATATTACTACCCATATAATCTATCAAAGAATCAAGTACACATACCCTGTCCTAGCAAAACCCAATTAACAAATAATATATAAAAATAAAAATAAAAAGATATGCATTGAAAATTTTAATAATTTTGAGATAATATAATCAATTATATAAAACAAAAACAAATAACACGTAAATTCGCTATGAAATTTTAAAACCTTTAATACTGTCTTGTTAAATAAAATGCATGCGATATAATGAAATATATGATTCACTAATTACTTGTAAGTGCATGAATATTTGAAGAAATTCAAAATGTTGTCATTTACTATTGCGTTGAAGATGAATAAAAAATGATCCAATATCTGCTTACTGAAAAATGATAAACTTCATTAGCATTATTTTTCAGAATTGATTGTAGAATGAATCGAATATTTCAAGAAATTAGATTTATTTGAATTACATATTACTGATTTGGTTGTTTTCAAATAAGCGCGTGAAAATAAGTCATACGTGACGTCACCGATCATATTTCAAATTTTCGCGGTATTAAAGCGAAAGTAATTATTTTAACATTAATTTTTCGAGGTCACAAATTATAAAGATAGAAAAAGATAAGAATATCGTATTATAAGATAGAATATACATACGATGATCGAGCCTTAATTTCCTGATACGCAATATGTGTAAAATGTATATAATATAAAGTTATTGTAAAAATGCATTGTTTCTATTGTAACAATATTTAATAATAAAATTCATTGAACGATGTAATAGCCGGAAAAAGAAGATGCTTTTGTAATGAAATATGAGATCATAATTATGAAAGTAAAATTCTATGTATATGTATAAATATTTTTAAAACCTTAAAAATTATGTACACAACATTATGATCATTTTACGATTAAAAAATATTCAATTAAGTTCAATTAACCTACCGAATGGCATATTGTAATTAAATCAGTTAATCTCATAGTTCACTTAAATATTATTTGAAATAAGTATTTCATTAATTAATATTTTATTATTTTATACTGCGTACGCGCGAAAAAATGTTTCTTGTACGGGCACTCAAAGCAGCGCATTTGTGAATCTTTCGAATAAAGTCCATACTATATATTACCGAATTATAAAGAAAAAAACATGTTACGTTAATAATATATTGTCAAAACGTACATAATTAATTTAAAAATATACTTTTTAAATGATTTTTCATTAAAATCAGAATTTCGATAAGAATTTTCGTTTATTATCAATTAAATTGAAATCAAAACTTTATCAATAATAATTTTAATATAAATCATTATTTTCAGTAAATACATTAATATGTTGATCGATCATTGAATATAATTATTAATTGTTTCGACATAAAATGCTAATTAAATTTTTGACGTTATGTAATTTACTATCGTTTAGTAACGTACACTAAACATAGATTTAAAAACTAGTACATAACAAAAAATTATCAAAATTAGGATTCAATTAAATTTTCAAATCTGGAAATGACGACATCTGTTAACAAGATAAATAAATATAAGACGATAGTAAAGTAAACTATGAAAGATCTGTACGTTGGTAACGTAGTTGAACTATAATTAGTATCAAATGATGCTGTAAAAGTTCTTGAACGTTAGATCATCGAAGATGGATAAAAATTATAGTAAGTAGAGAGAGAGAGAGAGAAAGAGAGAGAGAGAGAGAGAGAGAGAGAGAGAGAGAAAAAAAGAAAAAACAAACAGGTAAGATTAATAAATTAAACATTTCAATGATACAATTAAAAATGAACTTTACAATTAGATTAAATATATAATGGAAAAAGTTTATATTTTTTATTCTACAATATTTTATATTAACGATATTAATATTTTTCAATCTTACAAACTTTTAGCATAATATTTGACGTTATTAATAATTTATTCTAATCATACAATTTTCTAGCATTTTTTTAGACTTAGAAATAATCTGCAAGTTATTTAATCAAGCATGTGTGTGTGTGCGTGAATGTGTGTGCGCATAATTGCATAAATATCCCTTAAATAACTCTGCCTTTTCATTGGCTGGATACTGGAAGACTAAATTTGGATATCAGTGGTTCTTTATTGGTTGTTATTATTCGCGCCAAGATAGGTCATCATTGTACAGCCAATATCTAAACAGAATATGCAATAGGATTGATTTGCTGCTCGTTGAATAACATTCAAGTAACAGTTGGTACTTGTAAATTCTCCATATTGGCCTTCTTCTCTTACTTTCTTTTTTCGTTTTTTTTTTAATTATCGATTTTCCGAAGATTACCGATCGGATCCGAAAATGGACGAGACGTCGGTGCATTAATCTGGTATTTTATTCGCGCGAACAGTTCGTGACGCCCGCCCAGTTTAGTTACTAATGATCATTTTATGCATACAGAAATATGCAGTTGTATCGTTCGTATCAACCGTCATACACACATAAACATATATAAGTTTTAAGTATTCCTTTTGATTTTAAATTAATCAGTAATCGTGTCGATAGTATTTGGTAAGAAATGTCAGAACTTCGTAAAAGAACTGTAGAAGATACGTCGTCCGCAGCTACGCGGGATGTCAACGATGATCAGGTGAAAATGTTTTTTATCACATTGTTGTTGTTATTTATTTTCTTCTTTTTCTTTTTTCTTTTTTATTCTAGATATAATTCTGCGTACATTCCGACCAAATAAGCGAATCAATGTTTTATTTTATCGATTTTTAATAATGAATACAATTCTATTAGAATAATTTGGACAATTGAACATGTTCTTTTAATTGATTAAAATATGTATTATTGACAGCTAGTAACAGGGATACGTCAACATTCTTTGCCCCCGCTAGTATGTATAATTATTTGACATTGGTATATTCCATTGATCGGATTACCCCTGTGGCATATTAATTAAAAGAAATGCCATTTTTTAATTATCTATTATATTTATATTATTATTATTATTAATATGTTATGTTTAATTATCTACTATTTTATTATTTATGTATTTTCCCTTATTTGCTGACAATGTCCAGAAAATATTTCTTCTTCTCTAACTTATTTACATTTTTCAATTACATATCAATGTGTTATATTTCATCTGATATTGTTAACAGAAAGAAGAAATTGAATCGGAGGATGATGCCAAGTTGGAAGTGGAAGATTTATCAAAAACTTTGCCGCAAGGAACGCATCATACTCCCCAACTTTTAAACCCTGTTCTTTCTGGTCTTTCAGATCGGTCAGTTTGTATGCACTTTTAGTTACAGTTTCTTATTGAGCAAAAATTATTATGTCATTTTGTTATTTTATTTCAGTTGGAAAAATTGGATCATCAGAAGTATTTCAACGTCAGTTATGATAGCTGTATTTGGTTTTATAATATATGGCGGGCCATTAGTACTTATGATCACGGTAAATATTCTCTTTTAACAAGACTAAGGTAATTAATGTTATTTCATTATACATTGATTTATTTTTACAGACATTAATAGTTCAAGTTAAATGTTTCGAAGAGATCATTAATATTGGATATGCGGTATATAGAATTCATGGTTTACCATGGTTCAGATCGCTATCCTGGTATTTTCTGATAACTTCTAATTATTTCTTCTACGGGGAAAATTTAATGGATTACTTTGGAGTAGTGATCAATCAAACGGTAAATATATTTACTTTTATATATATTCAATTTGATAAAATATATATCTTTTACATATAACTTATAAAATAAAATTTTATAAATATATATATATATACACACAAACTCTGACACTAAATCAATAAAAGAGCTACTATGATAATAAGATCTATAGAAACTTTGTGTGGCTTCTCTTACAACGCAATGAGGCTTCCATGGTGCGCATTAAATTCCTTGCGAATCAATTATATAAATAGAAATGAATTATGTAAAAAGAATGAAAAGCATAATGTAAATAGCATCGCTTGAATATTAATTGCTACTATATTAACAATAATGATGTCCATTTTTATTTTTAGGAATATTTACGCGTACTAGTGACATATCATCGATTTATTTCATTTTGCCTCTACATCATCGGTTTTGTATGGTTTGTACTGTCGCTCGTAAAGAAATATTATATGAAACAATTTTCTTTGTTCGCATGGACACACGTCGCACTATTAATAGTAGTGACACAAAGTTATCTCATAATACAAAATATTTTCCAAGGATTAATATGGTAAATATGTTATTTCAAATAATTATCTCATTAATTTATTTTTTTTTATTAATGATAATCTATTAATAAAATATTTTTTTACTTTTTGATGTATTCATTTAGGTTTATCGTACCAGTGAGTATGATAGTTATAAACGATGTCATGGCTTACATGTTTGGATTCTTTTTTGGAAGAACGCCTTTGATCAAATTGTCTCCAAAGAAAACGTGGGAAGGTTTCATAGGTGGTGGTGTTTCAACAGTTATCCTTGGATTATTGGTGATAAGACAGTCTACTTTTATACTTATTTATAGTTTCTTTGATAACGATAATAACAATAATAACTATTTTACAGATGTCCTATGTTATGTGCCAATATCGCTATTTCGTTTGTCCTATTGAATATAGCGAAGCTTTAGGTAGGATGACAATGGATTGTGAACCATCCAGTTCATTCCAACCGCAAGAATATGTATTACCAAAGAGTTTACAAGTAATTACAAGAATGGTAATATTATTATAACAAAAAGAAAAAAAAACCATGGCAGTAATTGAAATAGTGTAACACAATTATATTCTTTTGCAGATCAATGGAAAGGAGACCTTGACTTTATATCCCTTTTTACTTCATTCTTTGTCAATGTCTATATTTAGTTCAGTCATTGGACCATTTGGAGGCTTTTTTGCCAGTGGTTTCAAACGAGCTTTCAAAATTAAGGTAATTCAAAATGATACAAAATACTTTACATTATTTTTATTTGTATCATAATATGAATATTAATTAAAAACATAAATCATTTAAATATAGGACTTTGGAGATGTCATTCCTGGCCATGGTGGAATAATGGATAGATTTGACTGCCAATATTTAATGGCAACGTTCGTCAATGTGTATATTTCGTCATTTATACAGACAGCTTCACCTCAAAAACTTTTACAACAGGTAAAATGAAACTAATAATAGCATACTCTATTGAGTATGCTTTTTTGTGTGTGTACATTTGTCATTTGCTTATTAATTATTTTTAACATTTAATTATTTATTTATTAATATAAAAATTATATACATGCTTTTTTTTATTTATAGGTTTTTAGTTTAAAACCCGAACAACAGTTACAACTGTTTCAATCTTTAAAAGATTCTTTAGAAAACAGAGGTCTCATAAATATGTGTTGATTTAAAAGAGAATACACATTTCTTAATAATAATAATAATAATAATTACAAGAATTTCTGTAGCATCACATACAATGAATGTATGAGAGAAATAATTACTCTGTCATTTAACAGTGAGTATCATTCAACAAGATGTGCAATTGATATTGATTGACCGGTAAAAATGGAGGTTAGCTAATATCTGTTATAATCTCTTATCAAAAGCGTAAAAGAATTTTTATGTTATAAAAAAAAAATGAAACAATGCGACTGTGTGCATTCCGCATAAGTTAGACAAAATATTGTAATTAATTCTATTCATGCCTCTTATTAAGAAATGCTACCTTTTTCTTTTTTAGTAGCACAAGCCAAAGAATATTGCCTTTTATTAATACAGTTTTCTTTTTTTTTATATAAGCTTTTGCATATATAAATCCTTCATAATTATATATTTACTTCTTTAATCAGGTACAAATAATGTTCAACAAGGGAACATGTTTTTCCATCCAATCGTATAATTAAATACTACAGGTATCTATATTTATCAGATCTCAATATATTAGTTGCTAATAATTACGCATTTATGAATCAATTTTTGCAAGTATGTCTTATTAGACTTAAAGAGTAATTTTTTATTTTTTAAATAATTGACATTCAACGATTATTACTAATGTATATATATATATATATATACATACATAAATGTGTGAGAGTTAAGGGAATTAATTTATATTAATACAGATACTTTTGCATGTTCCTAAAAAAATTGTATTTATTACGAATTAGTTATTTGCAAGTATCAACAAAAGACTTAGTTAGGAATTTTAAAAGAAAAGTATATAGGACTGTTTTATTATTAGTTTATTCGATATTATGCAAATATTTTATATATATATATAATATTAGATTCGGAAACGAAATTTAAAATATTTTTCAATGAATATAATAGAATTCTTCTTTAAATAGTTATATTAGTTTATCGTCTAAGCTCCAACATAAATCGAAGGTTTTTTCAAACTGCGTTGAATAAAAACTTGTTGAATGTCACAAAATAAAGAACAATTCTTCTATAAAAAAAATCTTCCCATATAATAGGAAACTACAGTATTTTAACAGGCGGAAAAATTAAGTAGTATACATATATATATATAAATATATATATATATATATTTATTGTCTGTTTTGAGATAAATTTTAGTACTTATTATTTCTATATAACATATATATAATTCAACATATATAATTTATTAATCTTTAATTTAGTGTTCTTTATATATATAAATTTTATAAAATTGAATTATATATGTTATTTTTTTTTTTGCTTTTTTGTATATACGTACTGTACCATAAGCGTTACACATGTTGTAAAAGCGCAAATGCAAGCGAAGTTGTTTCCAATTGTAAAATATTGGACGTCTATCCTCTAAGTTGTGATAAATGAAAACATCGTTGTTTGCTAAATAAATATCGTAGTAGGATATTATTTTCTATATATAAAGATCCATTTATTTAATAAGATAAGATTTTTGTATGATTGTTATTATCAATTTGTCTTTATATTATTTCACGTGAAGTACGAATTCTAGAATAATTTGGAAAATTTTTAACGCATATTTGTAACTGATCAATAGTTAAAACAAAACATCACCATCCGATTATTATTTTATTTTCAAACGTTCCTGATAATGCGTAACCTTGAATTGAGCCAATTGTCAGCGAGTTAAAATATTTTGAATGTTCAATAATAATATACTTTCCATGCGTTATATAATATATTGTTCTTCGATTAAGTTGACATGGCACAATTACTTGGTAATTTTTATGTGATCATATTACATTTCCAAATAAAACGCTGTAAGTATATTTCTTGCAGTCAATGAAGGAGTCCAGGTATCGCGCGGATGAAATACAAAATGTACCTAACTAATATAAACTAAAATGTTTGTACGTTTCTTTATTATTACATTATCTATTAACAAATTTGTCGATGTTAAAGTCTAAGTGTTGAAGAGGAAAAAAGTTATGGTCTATTTGAATTAGGCAAGAGTATAGACAAAAAAAGGAACGAATAAACAGAGAAAAAGAAAACAAATAAATAATAGTAGATAAATGGTTAAAGATAAGTATATTTATTTATTAGAGGATATAGGAACTAAAAAATTATATATAAATACATATATATATATATATATATACATACATATACACACACACATATATACCTGTATGGATTTATGTAATATAAAATAAATTCTCCATTTTTACGTACAACCAATTGTATGCATAAAAAGGAGATTAAATGTGTAGTAACAAATATATTATATAAATAAAAAAGA